ATTGATCACTTCCCTTGCCTGTCTATAAGAATCAATAATTGTTTCTTTCTAGATTATCTTGTTAATGGATTACCTTCTCTTGCCTGCTTATCAAATGCCAAGCTTTTCTCCAGCATCTACACCTTCTTAATCCAGTAAACACTGGATTAGTTATATAATTTACATATTGGTTATGCTGAAGATATAGTTTTTTATCAGTATTGCTACTCTGTCACCATGGATTTGAACTGAAATCACAAGTTCAGACACTCCATGAAACAAGGTTTCTGTGTTGTCATTGCATTAGATATTGTGGATACTTTGAACCTGAGGTTTAGTCTAGTCGGTTTACGTAATCACCCTTAAGAGGGGCATCTAGTAGGTCTGAAATTCAAATACCAACACTGGCAATCTTTCCTCTATCTCAAGGTGACGACCCTTTGTACCCAAAAAAATATTATGGATACTTTAGGAGAGTTCTTATTGCTGTTCAAGCCCCAAAACAAAGTAAAATAAAGTGTTCTGCTTAATAATTTGTAGATAGATTATTCCAAGCTTGTAAAGGGTAATGATTGCTCAATTGACTAAAATTTCTTCATTATTGTCCCACTTCCACCTTTTTGCAACCACTTCCTTGTAGTTGCATGAGTTTTTCGTTTACGACTTATCTTTCAATCATTTCTGAATATGACTAGAATCTTGTGTATTTTTAACCAACTTCCTTTCTAACTGTGCCATTTTTTTGTTTTTTTGAGGGTTGAATTTCCTCCTTGTTTTGCTATTCAAAACATTTCTATTTCAAACTTATGTTAAATGTCTGTCATATATTTGGTTTAGAAGAACCAAAAAAAAAAAAAAGAAAAAAGATTCTGCATAGAACTCATGACATATCTAGTACTACTATTATTTAAATTAATTTTTAAGATGGATGGATCATATCTTTTTGCCATTCATTCATCTTAGATTTTAAAAATAATGCAACATCTTCTCTGCTCTGCAAAATCCACCATCAGAATGATGGGGAAATCTGCACAACCAAAACAATGTTCCTATGGTTAGAGTACAAAAACCTTAAATTTTATGGCAATTCCTTCATTTCTTTTTTTTTTTTGCCTTTAATGAAATTTGCTTGATTTGATGATAAAATCTTCACATACCCTTTTCAGATTGTGAACTGATTAAACGGGCATGAGTTTCCATAACTCTAGATATCTTGAAGCAAGCATTGAGCTAAGTTAATCCATTGATATTGGAGCAATTCAAGTCATAGAGAATAAAGAATAAAAAGGTAAATCAAAGTAAGTTAACTGAATAGAGAACTATGTATCCATGTGCTGTGCACAAACATAGAAAAGCCTTGCAATTGGTGATTTTATTATCATCAACAACAGCCCCATCCAGCATGAGCAATGTTCTGCGAGATACAGACATTCACTTGCCCATGAAAAATACTTGTCTACTTTTTTCTTGAATTTACATATAAAATTTAGAAATGGTACATAATATTGAAAGGCGCTTGCTCAGTTATCTAGATCAGATCAAGAAAGATAAAAAGAGGATTTCTTAAAACAGCTGGAGATGGCAGATGCCTCTAGATGTGGGAATTATTAGGCATGTATGTGATACAATCTGCCTTGGCTAGTTCTGGCCACTTGTGTTCAATCCCAGCTGTAACTAACTCCCAACCTCTCTTTGGGTCCCCACACACCTTCTTCTCTGCCCAATCATCTATCCCTCTCCCCCCTTGACCCAATCTGCATCCTCACCACTCCATGCTGGCCCATAACATGAAGATTGAAGCCCCATTTCGCTTCACAACCTTAATCTTCTGGCATTGATGATGATCTAACCTTTGGGGTTGATTAATATATATATTTTGCTCTCATTCAACCTTCCAGGCATACAGAAACAAGCAAAATTCCGATGACCCACCTGGATTAAGCCCTTCTAATGAGCCACTGCTCCCTGTCTGAGATGACAATGGTGTGGATGGCGAGGATGATGATAAAGTAGGCTTGAATATAAACAAGGCATGCCTTAAACCAGGACTAAAAAGCCAATCATGAACATCCCAGTAAACTTCTACTCTTGTTTTGTTGACATGAATGGATTCATTGCCTCTGAATTTCCATTGAAGATGCTTGACATGAAGGACCAAATGCCCATCAATTCTTACCTCCATTTCAGGCTCAACCCCACCTAAAGAGTTGACGTTACTCATGTTGCCACTAGTTGTACTTCTATTCTTGCACTCAATTGAGATCTCATGAAACCTGCCTTTGTCATGAAATTTAACTCTTGTACAGAACTTCTTTTTGCCAAATATGTGCTCTTTTCTTGAAACCAAAATGGGATCAATAAGAGCAGGCCTGCATCCAGTTTTCCTGTATGCATCTTTCTTTAGATCCCCAAGGAGTAGCACAACCTCTTCATCACAAACAACAGCAACATAGTACTCGGAACCAGGCTCTGTTTCACCATTGAATTTAGCTGCCTTCAAGTCCCAGAAGATATCAACAGCTTTACCATCCACTATAAAGCGCTTGGAGCCTTGTTTCCTCCAAAAATACCAAGGTTTCAGCACAACTTTACAGGTATATTGACTCTCTCCCTCGGGACCTTCAACTGATACTGAGAGGCCATGAAGTAACAGATTCTTGCACCAAGTAACAGTGATCAAACGGCACTGATCAGCTATCTTTGTAAGGAAAACAGACATAAAAACACTTTTGCCAGACCTGGTTACCGCTGCTGGATCGTCACTTGGCTTCTCACCTGATGAAAAACAAGCAGGAATCCCAATAGGGTCTTGCATGGTTCTTTACAAATTTGATCAAGCTGAATGGACAAAGCTAGTTATTGTGGGCAGCGCCCAAATTAAAGCAAGAAAAAGTAGCCAACAAAATGAGGAAGAATGAGTTGGAGAAAACAGAAATGAGAGAAAGTGAACAATAATAACAGAAGGAGAGAGTTAGAGAGAGAGACCTTGGTCACAAGATGTATGAGTCATACAGAAGCTGCCAGAAGTGTTCTTGGCAGCATTAATGGATATTAAAAAAATAATTCCAAACTGGCAAATAGATAGCAGTGAGTGAGAGTGAGTGAAGAACAAACTTTTTTTATATTGCACATTATACTGCCCAACTTTCTCTTTCCTGGATCATTATTTTTTTTTATGTTTTGTTTTGTTTCCTTTGTTTTTACTACTTTATTCTGTTTCTTAGTTTTTCCTCTTGCCAGGACAACTTCATTGAATCCGAGGTGGGTTTTTGCTTCTGCTTTACTTAAAATACTAACGCCCATGCATGGTTAAAAATGGAGAACCCCATTTTTTCACCAGATTTGGACTCTAGATTTCTACGTTCCCAGATAGAGTTCTCAAGGCCATTGACAGCACATGAAGTTGGTCAAAATTAAAATAATTTCAAAGATGAAGAAAAAAAGTTGGTTTTCCAAGATGGGTCTTTCATGATCTTTCGATCATTTGTTTAAAAAAAAAAGTTTTCAACACATTACTATTTGTAATCGATGGGATTGTTCAGCTTTTAACTTTTCTTCAAAAGTGTACAGGAGAGGAATCTTGGAAGTGGTATGGTTTGCTCAAAAACCTGAGGAATCTACACTGTTAAAGTTTGCAGAGCAGATCTGGTCCAAACTCTAGTGTTCTGCAATTTGGTTTCAGGCAACAATCAAGTTTTCACGGTTCTTCTACCTACATCTCGCAATTCTAAATACTTTTAAGATGTTGACACAATACCAAAATAATAAATAAATAAATAAATAATAATATAATTTAAAATTTTAACAAAATTATACTTCGGATTTGGAATAAAAAAAAAATTGTGTATGATATATTTATACAAATTATGAAACGACAATTTCATAGTCAAGAAATAAATAAACACGAATTTTCATGTATACTTTTAGCTATAAGTTATTTCTGCATTTTTATGAGAAGAGAAAGAAGAGATGTCTTCCGTGCATTTAAGTTGAGATTTCTAAATCCCATCATATGAGACTTAAAATGCAATAGTTGGGGTGGTTTTTTCACAACTAAAACTTTAGAGTTTACATTTCACTTGTTCATATTTAGCTTAAAGAAAAAGGTATGACTTTAAGAGCAGAAGAAATTAAGAGAGTACCTATAAACTTAGGTTACATGTAAAGATGTCAATTTTACTCGTATTCAATGAAAATTTTGATTTTTTATTCAAATGGAGATGTGAAAAGATATTATATTATGAGTACAGAGATGAAAATATGTATAATTTTAAATTTTTATTAGATATAAACTTAGGTTACATGTAAAGATGTCAATTTTACTCATATTCAATGAAAATTTTGATTTTTTATTTAAATGAAGATGTGAAAGGATATTATATTATGAGTATAAATATAGAGATAGAGAGGAGTAATATAATATATGTCCCTTATTCGTTCTTTATATATATATTTATATATATATATTTAGTAAATAATTTTTTTATTAAATAACATAAATTATTATTTTAGATTAATTAGAATTAATATATTTTATTAAAATATATATATCTATTTATAAAAAAAATTATCTAAATATACAAGATAAAATTTTAAAAATAAAAAAATTAAATTTTAGTTTATATTTTTTTAAAAAAATTACAGATATAGAGATTATTCATATCCATTAAATACTTTTTGAATAAAGATTGAGATAAATTTAAAATATTTATTGGTTATGATTACGAAGATGAATATAATATAAAAATATGAAAATAAGAAAGAGAAATGCACTACCCTAACCATTGACATCCCTAATTACATATCCATAATTTATAATTTGACTAAAATATAAAAAAAACCTTAAATTATTTATTGTCTTAAAAAATAATTTATTATGTTTTTATAATATTCAAATAAATCCTTATCTTTTAATTTATATCTAAATGGGCTGGCCTGGTCTCTCATTACAGTGAAACTTCTTGGATAAACAGCAAGTCCAAGCCATCAAATCCAAAACCCAAAGGGGGCATTCTCGTAATAACACAGTCTACGATCATTAAACCCCAGTTCGCGGAGGGACGGAGGGTTTCGAGCACCGGCGGCTTATTGATTTGCAGAAAGTCCTTTTCATCCATCACTTTCTCGCTTTCTCTCAGCAACCAAACGGGGTGTAGGAGCTGACCCTTATTTTTTTTAAGAGCCAGATAATGCAGTCGTTTGTTGGTGGGAGTATCCGATTGGCTCAAAGACAAGGTTTTTACAGCTGGAGCTGTGCCCATTTCAAAGCCACAACCAGAGCTTATCTGGCCACTAATAGTATCGGTAACAAAATTCATGGATCCAACAATTCAATCAATTCTTCCAAGAATCACCTCCTGCAATTTTTAGGAGTATGGGTTTTTTCTTCTTTGCTTTAATTTTATGGGTTTTGTTTTTAAGTATTATTTAATTTGTTTTACATAAGTGATTTTCTTGCCTCAAAATTTTGCCTTTTTTTGGGTTTTAATTAAGTGTAAGTTGACTGATACATTGCTGCTAAGTGAAAATTTTCAAGTCATGTTGCTTCTCGTGGTTTTGTGAGTCAAATTTTGAGGTGGGTTTGTTTGTAAAGCTTGTAACTTTTTTTAGCAGACAAGATTTGGAACCCAAAGTAAAGAATCGATGTTTCCTGGTAGCTGTGGCGGATGTTCGATTCCGAGTTTGTCTCCATTGGCTGCAATGATGTCTACTTCTTCTAGCAGGTGTATGACAACAGATGCGTCGTCTACTCTGGATTCTTCTGAATCTGTCACTGATGTGCCTTCTCGAATTAAATTTAAGAGGCTTGATAAGACTGCCAGGCATATAATGCAGGAAAGTGTCTTTCTTCCTTGTCACTACCTCAATGGTTAATGGCATTTTTTTCTTGTTCTCGTTTTGAATCGTATGGATTATGTACTTGCAGATTCTGGATAAGGAAGCAGTGGAGGAAGTGAAGGGGCAGAGGGAGATACCCGACATAAAGCCTGGCTACATTGTGCAACTCAAAGTGGTATGACATTTTCTACAGAGGTGTTAGTACAACGTGTGATTGTTACTTGGTTTTGAGCAGATTGGATTAATTAGTGTACTGTTGGTGAGAGCAGGAAGTACCTGAAAACAAGCGACGTATTTCAACCATAAAAGGCATTGTTATAGCTAGGCGTAATGCTGGCCTAAATACTACATTCCGAATAAGGAGAATGGTTGCCGGAGTTGGGGTTGAATCTCTCTTTCCACTGTAAGTAACATTCAAGATTATGTTCCTCCGAACTCAATTCGTTCCTCAAAAGCATGTTATTTAAGATTTGATGTATCAACCTGTAAAGAAAGCGTGTTGCTATCTTGTTGGATGACCTGAAGGTAAGGTGCAGTAATGTTGCATCACTGGTCGCCTAATAATATTGATTTTGATTATATGTTGAAATACATATCATTAGAAATTTGGTCGCGTATTGAGACAAAGAAGTTACTAGAATATGTATTTAGTGAATTAGGTTTTATGCTCTTACAAACAAACAAAAGATTCCACAAGACTCTCAACATTTCTTTAGGACTAATGAGATTGGACTTTAGTATATATGTTATTAAGGATATGAAAAAAGAACGTCTGTCACATAACTCCCTGTAAAAGTGTTTGCTTCATTGCATTTCCCTGGGCAACCCTCGTGTATAATTTGGCTGCTATCAAAGGTGTATTACAAAGTGTTAATACTGAAGGATTTCTTGTAGTTCATGCTGATATTCAATTTGTTCAAGTTTCATTTACGTGTTTTAAGCACGAGTGTCTCTAAGAGATTCTGTCGTAAATATGGACATGCACTAAGCATCCAGAAACCAGCAGCCCTTATCAATAATTTAATTTTAAGTGCATCCTTTAATCCTTCAATTCAGAGATAATAAGCCAGTGAGTTTGCATTAGCTTCAGATTTATGGAATTTCATTATTTCATAGTCAAGGGTCAACAAAGATAGAAACTGCCATTTCTTCCATGGAGTTGTGTGATTCTTAGGCCTGTACGGGAGCTTCTGGTTGAAGATAACATTGGAATGACCTAGAAGAACAGTCCATTAGAGCATCTTTGAATGAAAGGAAATATCAATGTGAGGAAGAGGGGGAGAATAAGGGTATTCTTTTTGATAGGGACGAAGGCTTCTGGCATGAAAACGTGTCCTCTTCATGTGTTAATACTGGGATAGTACTATCTGAGTTGTCACTGATTGTTGTTTAGTTCCTATGTTATAGGTGCATGACAAGAATGATTTCTTTTAAATAAAATTCACATCAAGAATTACCCTTTGGGTGGGAGTTGAACTTGGCTGTGCATCATCATGTCATCTCATGTCCTTTGCCTGCCATCCTGTATCTACTATTCATTTTAGGCCCTTATTTTTCTCTGTCAATCAAGTTTTGCCATCCGTTTTAACTCCCTAACAACATTCCATACAGGGTCAAGCATGAAAATGTTAAAGGTAATTCATTGATTGTAGTTTTTACATATATACATACTATTTGACTCACTCCAATCATCGTGACATCCTTGTTATGATGGATGGGAACTGTGGACCAGTGCCTAGCTTGCCAAATTGATTAATTGAGCTCTGCTGTGGATCTGTGTACAAGGGGTTGGTTTCTCGTTCTACTAGTATTTTTGTTCCTAGAACTACAACTATTTTAATGTATTCATGACACAGTAGATGTCAACATTGCTTAATGAAATTGTCGGTTGGTCTTTGTTGACTCTTCTTTTTCTAATTCACATTCATTTAATGACTAAAGTTTAACTTTCAAAGGCTTTATTCAACTAATTTAAGTTCAGCTATGAGAATCATGTCTGGTTTATGGCCAAAAAATGACCACAATCTCTCTTTAGCTTTCCTCTTTTTTGTTGTGGCAACTTCAATTGTAATCTTGTCATTCTTCTTACTAGTGTGCTTGTTGTCACAATTGATAACCAATAATTTTAGATTATTTTTGTGATTTCTGACAAGATCCTAAATCCTACTACCTTGTTAGTGTTGTCATGTCTGTTCAATTTGCTTATGCTTATCTTTTACATAGTGGCCAAATAAGAATGGGTGATGGATGACAGGTATTCCCCTAACATAAAGGAGATAAAGGTGCTGGACAAGAAGAAAGTGAGAAGAGCCAAGCTTTACTATCTCAGGAACAAGATGAATGCTCTTAGATAATCTTAAATAGGAAAAGCATGCTCTAAGGCCCGTAAGAAATCAAACATGGTTTCATTGTGAAAAAGGGTGGGTAAAGTCGTTTTGGCGGAGAAATTCCTTTAATTATCTTGTTTTCTCTTATTTGCTTCCATCCTTGTTTTGGAGGAAAACATAACAAGCTCATCTGCTGAAGCAGGTAAAAGTATACATTTATGCTTACAACTATGCACTCTTGTTGGATTGTTTGTATTGTTTTTCCTAAATTTTGCTTTTTATTCTTTTGATGGTAAGGGTGTTAAAAAAAATAATATGAGCATTAATATGGCTGTTGCTTGATGAGTTGTTTTTTCTACATAGAGCATGCATCTAAGATAACATGTGATTTTGCTTCGAATAAGACATTATTACATTCCATGTTTTCTCATGTGCCCGTCTACTTCCTAGTGGTTGGATCAATTTGCAACCTCCATGGTTCTTGTAGGGTCGTGCCTTTATGATGATAAAGAAGGATAGATGGACTTTGACTCATGATGGTAAAGCATTGTTAGAATTAGCATTGCTTATCAAAGTTCTGACTGGTGCCATTTATATTTGGGATCAAAGCAAAATTTGCCATTGTATTATGGTTCAATATTGAATTTCATTATTATATTTAATTAAATTGACTTTTTTTTTTATTTTTTTAGATAAAAAGTAATGAACTTGATGAGAATTTACTACAAGCATTATGGAAAATTTTTTTATGGAATGTTTTTATGGAAAGAATACATAGATAAGAAAGAATTAGATCATTGTAATAATCTCCATGGTCAACCCTTTTTTTTTTTCTCCTTTAATATTAGTTATATATTTTGCACGTTTTTTATGGTTGGTTGAATGGCTGGAAGCTTACCCACTTTCTCATGATTGTATCCCCATTTTCCTATAAACAACTCTCAAATTACTTATCTTTATTTTTCTACTAGGTTTTGTTCCATGTATGGTGAATTGCCAAATTCAATATCCGTAATTCCGTATTTCCTTTTTTTTAAAATACCAAAATAACCCTTATACTTTTATAAATTTCTCAAATAAGTTACTATCTTTTCATTGAATTCAATTGAACCCTTGTCATATAATTTTTGTTTAAAAAAACTTTTTTATTTTTGCATTAAAATCCTTTAAATTATATATTTAATTAAAGGAAAATATTGCATAGTAGCTCTAGCATTCCATTTGATAAAAAATAAAAAGAAAATTATTTGTGCATGCTATACTATATAATGTAACTTGAACTATAGGCAACCTTAAAACTTATATTATGGGATTTATCAGTTCTTTACTCCATGATATTTTCCGTATCATTCACTCCATTAGTTGCTTTTCAATGCTTATTACATTAAAATAAAATAAGATAAAAGCACCAATTGAGTTCAATTTGACAATGACCATGTTTCTCAATTCTCATGTCTTAAGTTTTGTTCCTACAATTTTTTGAAATATTATATATTAATGTATAAAAAACATTTATGATATAATTTAATACTACATTAATTTAAAAAAAAGCTAATTTAATAAAAAAAAAGTGGGTGTTTTTAAAGAAAAATAGATATTATCTTCTATTCAATAAAAAAATTTTAATATTAGTAGAATATAAATGATAAACAATTAATAAAAATATAATATAATTTTTTATAATATGACAAAAGAAAAATCTCATTAACTTAATTTATTCATCAGACAAATTTAACAACGTATTTTCATTAATTCATACCAATTTATTGCATTTAAAATTTTACTTGCAACAAAAATATCATTATTATTATTATTAAAGATTCAAACCAAGCCCAATAAATATATATATATATAAATTAAATTCTGGTTTTTCGTTTTTTTTACTAGTCGTGTTTAATTGCATGGAACGCCAACTGGTTGGCGGGTAAAGAAGAAAACCGATCGAGAAAGTGCCACGTAGCATCGCTACAGCTAACTGTGAGGTCCACCATGAGATGGCAAAATCTCAGTAGAAATAGAAATTAAATATGTGGGACCACCAACATCACATGTGCACCTTAATTGGACTTTTGGAAACCGGATTTCAATCTCCAAAATTTTCTTTCTTCTGGGCCATTTTCTTTCTGGCCAAACAGGAAAGAATCTCTAAAATTTGTTGCTCACTAAAATAAAAATAAAGTAAATAAATAAACTGGAAAATAAATAAACCAGTCAGTCACAGTCGGTTTTCCCATTGACGAGACAGCTCCCTCTCCCATCTCCATCCATCACCCTTCATTTCTTGATTTCTTTTTTTTTTCTTTGAAACCACGACTTGAGTTTTCGATTTCATTTATTTTCCAATAAATAAATTGGGTTTTAATTATATAAACAGAGAGACAAATTGGAAATTTCTTTAAAACTTTGACTTTTTTTTTTTTGGTTGGGTTGGTGGTGTTTGAAAAGACAAGAATGCCGCAGGATACGACGTCCGAACAAGAACATGATGATTCCGATGCTGAGTTCGTGGAGATTGATCCTACGGGTCGTTACGGTCGGGTTAGTTCTGTCACTGTTTCATTTCCTTTTTTGCTAGTAGTTTTGGTTTGTGGTTTGATTTAAATGAATTTGCCAATTTTAGAATAAATTTTGTTTATTCTATATTTGATGCTGATTGGCATTTGGGTTAATCTTAATTGATGTTAGCTTTAATGGGTTATTTTTGTTTTTATCTTTTGCATTGTGTTATTGCAGTACAAGGAGGTTTTAGGAAGAGGGGCTTTCAAAAAAGTGTATCCTTTTTTTAACTTTTCTTGCTTGTTTTATTTTGTATATGAATGCATTTGCTTTTGTTGAATCCTTGATCAAATTGTGGGAACTTAGATACAGAGCATTTGATGAACTGGAAGGCATAGAAGTGGCATGGAATCAGGTTAAGGTCATAGATCTATTGCGTAATTCTGAAGATTTGGAGCGTCTTTATTCAGAAGTTCATTTGCTTAAAACTTTGAAGCACAAGAATATAATTAAATTTTACAATTCGTGGGTTGATACCAAAAATGAAAATATCAACTTCATCACTGAAATTTTCACTTCTGGAACATTGCGACAGTAAGTTTTTCATATTCGGATATGTGTTTTTTATGTGTTTAAAGTTTTGCATTTCATTATGGCTTTATTGAAAAGTTTATGTTTGATTGTGTAGGTATCGAAAGAAGCATAAGCATGTTGATTTGAGGGCATTGAAGAAATGGTCTAGGCAGATCTTGGAAGGTCTTCTGTATCTTCATAGTCACGACCCCCCAGTGATTCACAGGGATTTGAAATGTGATAACATCTTTGTAAATGGCAACCAAGGTGAGGTGAAGATTGGGGATCTAGGGTTGGCTGCTATTCTTCGCCAGGCTCAATCAGCTCATAGTGTTATTGGTTGGGATCTTGTCCTTAATTACTGTCATTTACTTCATGATTTGGAACCATCACAGTTTTGGGACAAATAATAAAGCAATTTTTAATGCAATATAGGTACACCAGAGTTTATGGCACCAGAACTCTACGAGGAAGAATACAACGAGCTTGTAGATATTTATGCTTTCGGCATGTGTTTGCTGGAGTTAGTGACCTTTGAGTATCCATATGTTGAATGTGCTAATGCAGCTCAAATATTCAAGAAAGTGACATCAGTAAGGCATTCATGATCTTTCCCATTTTTAAATGTTTATGGATTGGCTACTTCTTTACCGTGTGCCCTGCTTATCACCTTATGTTGATAGGTTGTAATCCTTGAGTACATTGTTTGTTGGAGAAGTTTAGGAATAATGCAATAACAGCTACCTAGAAATTGATGATTCCCTTAAAATAGTTTGTCATATTGTGAAATAGAAGTTCAGCCTTACATGTTGCTGAGCTAAGGAATTAAAACCTAGAACTCGTGTGCTTATTCACTAAATAACGCATGCCTTGAAATGGCCTAGCTTGTTAACATTGTAACTTTCAGATCTAGATTGAAAGCCTAAACACTTTTTGTGTATCCTTTATATTCTTTATGAATTTTCCTTTAGTAAGAATGTGCAGATGTTATAAAGAAACAAGAAATGTGGCTACATTCCATTAAAAGAAAAGAAGAAATTTAACTATGTTTCTTGAACAAGAAATTCTTCAAGTCTAGTTTGGTATGAATCATCATGTCGACCGGAAATCTTATTATTTTCTGAAGCAATTTGAATTTATTTCCTCATTAAGTTGAGAGTTTGTTGTCCTGCTTAGCTGCAATGAATACTTTTGCAATTCACTTGTCACTGGTCAAGTCAACCTTGGTTTATTCAGAATGCAAGCTATCTAAACTAAGTTTTATAGTAGCTCAGAGTTAAGGCAGTGTGTGGTGATGCCATTGATTATATTTAGACGATAATCCGTATTGATAAAAATTTGGAATTTGTTACCTTAAAATTACTCAATGTCCATGATCTTTTACTTTTTCTTTCTGACCTAAACTAGCTGAATCATATTTTGAAAGTTTATCTCCCTCCAGTGTTCAGTCCCTTGATTTACTTAGTGTATGTTTTCCTTCTTTATTGCTGAGTCACTGTCACCCCAGACACCCTTTTAATGGAATTGTCTAGCCTATAGAAGTTAAATCTTTCAACATGTTGGCTTTGCTACAGTATCCGAATATTATAATCCTGTTTGGTTAGTGAAAATCCCTGAAGTCAGGTAGTAGAGATTTAAATGAGCTGGATGGCTTAAGCTTCAGTTATATATGTGCTTTATCTCAAAATTATGCATGGGATCTATACAAGATAAACATGTGCTTTCAAGCCCTATGCCTGCTTTTGCTATTTTTCCATTTGATTAAGTTTATTGAAAGAATGATGAGTAATGATGATCCTGGTTAAATAGGAAATATGCAGACCTGGGGCATCCTTGGACTATATACACCCTGCTTCACTATGGGCAATAATTAAATTGATAATAAACAATCAAATAAATTTCAGAAATCTTTCATAATCAACTTGTATGGTTCAGTTTTCTGAGTTTTGAATCAAACCAAATTCTGTTATCAAAATTTGTTGTAGAATTAATGTCTAGAAATTGGAATAGTTGCTTGGCGCTTGAAATATTAAGCAATGCAGCTATTTTAATGTATTAAGTAATTTATGGATAGTGCAATACAATGCTTCTTGATTCTCATTCTTCTTTACTTCCTTGGGCAGGGAATAAAGCCAGCATCATTGGCAAAAGTGACTGATCCTGGAGTCAAGTTATTTATTGAAAAATGCATTGCTAAGGTCTCTGAACGGTTGTCTGCGAAACAACTTTTAGTGGATCCATTCCTTCAACCTGATGAGGAAAGTTACAGTGTAGGTCACTCTTTACGACCTAAAGCCCATACTTCAGGTAGAATCTGGGAGCTTTTTAGGAGCTTGAAGACTTTTGAGTATTTTTGCCCTCATGTTTTCACATGATACATGCAGATAGCAGTTCTGATCAGACTAATTTCAGGGGAAGTACCAAGGATCTTCAATATGAGATGAGTGTAGATGTCAAAGTGCAAGGTCAGAGGAAAGACCTTACAACAATATTTCTGAAACTAAGGATAGTAGATTCCAGAGGTCTCTCGCTCTCTCATATGTTCATACCTTGGCTTTTTCTTCACATTTCTTTCTCCTTTCATCCCATGAAAATATTTCATTCATTAGCATTGATAATTGTTTTTCTTATTGAAAACTGAAAGGCTTCCATATGTTTCTAGGTCATATTCGCAACATCCATTTCCCATTTGATATCGAAGCAGATACTGCAACTGCTGTTGCTAGTGAAATGGTTGAGGAGTTGGACTTAACTGATCAAGATGTTGCAACAATTGCTGAAATGATTGAATCTGAAATCTGGTCCCATATTCCTGATTGGGTTCCAATAGAAACTCCTTCTGATAGCTTTGGAGAAATCGCAAATTCTGGTAATCATATCAGTGAAAAGAAGGGTGATGGATCTCCAGTGGGTCACGACCCAACCTCATCTCCAGCTAGTCTTTCACTGGAGAGATTGCCGTCAGGTCGAAGATACTGGTCTGACTCACCCAAGGCAGCTGGTGGGAACTCTCCATCCAGGGCTGGTGTTTCAAACTTAGCTTGTCAGGTGGATTTTGCAAGGTCTGCAGATAGCTTGGCTGAACATGATGAACAATCTCATCATAGCTATGAAAGTGGAGGTAAAGTAAACAGTGGTACTTCACTTGAACAACTGGAGAATGAGTTCACACGTCACTATGGCAGAGATGATGATGGCCAGGGGAAAAATGGAAGCAGACCTACTGATGTGCACATGCAATTGAGTGCATCTGGGAAAAATCTGCATGATGGGAATGAAACACGTTCATCAGGAGAGAACTGTAAGCTATTAGAGGACACTGAATCTGGAGTGAAGGCAATAACAGAGAGACTCGAGTCTCTTTTGGTAAAGCGCCAAATGGAGGTAGATGAGCTAAAGAAGAAGCACAGATTAGCCATATCAGAACTTCTGAATGAACTTTCTCCAGAAATCCGTGAAAAGGTTTTGGATACATGTAAGACGAAAATACCAGAATATACTATTCAAAATGAGACAAACCGCTAAATTTGCATCCAACATACCTAGGATTCTACATGGAATTTGAGTTCACTTCTAGTCTCTCCAACGTTGCAGTTTGATAATAGTCCAGCTATGCTCATACTTAAATATCTATTTTCACTGAAAAAATAACCTTATTAGAAGGGATGGTGATACAAATAGATACTCCAGTACCTCTTAAAGAGCGTTCATTTTGTTTGGTGAAGTTGGAGAGTCTGTGTTGGTAGCTGATAAATCTGCAGAGTGTCTGATGTGGCTGTTCGGTGGTGATACCAGAGAGACAATGCTTTGTAATTATGGCCCAGGGCATGTGTGCTAAGTAGATTGATTCATGTGAAAGGCAACCCATGTTGGGCTGACAGGAAAGGATTTAACAGAAACTTTGGCCTTTCCACGAATTGCATTGTGCTACTGAGGTGAGGCATTGTTCCTGCAAGCCATATACTTATGCAATATAATTTTGCATATTTCTGAAGGTATCTGCACATCATTGATACACGAGTTTTGCCTTCGTTTTTCTTTTCTGAAATCTGTTTTAGTTTGATATTTCTTTCAAAAACTTCCAAGGGAGCATATACCTGTACATATGATTCTATACTAGAATCTGGCTACTTCAAATTGCTGTCTGTCAAGGCTATTGGCTTTCATTGATTTTTTTTGTTGGAAAGTTGGCTCGTCTAATCCAAAAGTTCTTTGTAAATGTGGCTTTATAGAAACTTATGGCCGTTTTGAATGATATTGATCTAGTATTTATATATGCATCAGAATTACTATTTTGTGATATGAGAGGACCTAATCTATGGGGATAATGATTGCAGTACATGCATGCGTGCGTACATACATGCATACATGCATACATGTATGTGTATTCCCAGTTTTTATATATTACAAAAATAAGACTGAAAATTATTTAAAAATAAAAAACAAAAGAAAAAAACTTAACAACATGGGTCTATTCGCCAATTCCCAATAGCTTTGTAGAATGCTTAAAAGTTTTTGGTCGGTACTTAACCTTGTCGAGTGCCAAAAAATCAATCCTCCATTATTCACCAAGGTCCGCTCCTCTTCTCCATCTGTCAACAATTTTCTTGCAAAGCTGAATGATTCAAAAGCAGATCATTAGATATAGCTTGACATGCATTTATGTGTGTGTGTGTGTCTATATATATATATATATATGCTTAAAAGGTTAAAAAATAACATGTGCATGCTACTTATAAAAAGTTAACCTATATATGCTATTCCTCGCCAACCATGCACCTATACATACAAGATGAGTATGGGTGAGGTGCCTCAAATTCAACAAGACATGAAAATGGTTAGAAAAACTGTTGCCTAAATAACCACACACAAAAAAAGAGTTGGATTAAGAGTCTCTTTCTTTTACCAAGGTAAAAGTACTATAATTCCAAAAGTATAACGATATATATATATATATATTTTTTCTCATATATATAAACCAAAGAAGACGAAGGCAGTAGCAGTTGATATAGTCCTAGACTTATACTGTTGCCGAGGCAAAGCAGGCAATGAATGCTCGCATGCATGCCCACTACCAAATTTAAATTTACCCTAAACTGCAAACCCCATCAAATTATTATTATTTTTTTTAACATTATATATGGTTTGAAGTAGCTTCAAGCATTTTTTCTCAAGTGAGTATTAATTCGGATAATATATATATATATATATATATATATATTGGACAAACTTCTAAAAGTTATGAGTTCTAGAGAATTTAAGTAAGTTTTGTAAACAAGGTTTAGGGTTAAAAGTAAATTAGAAATTTCAAAAAAAAATGTTCTTGTTTGATTTTTTTAATTAAATTAAAATACTAAATAATTTTTATTTATTTCCTTATCAATATTAAAGTCATTAATTATTAAAATAAAATTTTCCTAATTAATATTTTTTATTAAATTAAATATTGATTAATTTTTATGCATCTTTACTAAGCCTAAACTTCTTGAGTTGATGTATTTAAAATTTTATATTCAAAATATTTCTTACAAAAATCAAATTCTATTTATAAGAAAAGAAGATACGTATTGATTAGATTATAAAGAATAAATAATTTTAAATCTTTTTGAAATATTGTATTTAAAGTACCTCCAATATTCACCAATAATGTGAAGCTTCCAATTAATAAATAACAAATGATAACGATTGAATATTTATATATAAAGACACCCATTCTTAACAAAAAGAATATCTTTTTTAACTGCATTTAATACTGCTTTAATAACACAGCTTCATTAGCCACAAAAGCAGATTTATGGAGGCAGCCACATTGACAAAAAAGGCTGGCTTCTGGCTACCTACATAGCAGTATAGGGACGCGAGAGCGAGAGGCATAGCTAAGGCCATTTGAAGGCTTTTGCCTTTATAGGTTTCTCCCTCACTTCCTTTTTCACTTAATAGGTTTCTACTAGTACTAGCTCCAACTTTAAACCTGCTAAAAAAAAAAACCATGAAAGCTATAGCTAAGTGATAAAAAATAAAATATAAATTTTATATTTTACGTATCAATATGAATTTTACAATACGATAATTTTTAACATGAGTAAGACACTTACCATTGCTAATATAATTTCTAGTTTTTTGGGTTCCAATAACTGTGTTTTGTCCTTGTCCGTTCTTTTAGCTACAATTTTTGCTTTCGGTTGGATAAGCAATTAATCATATTGAAAGAACCCTCTCCATTGTCCTCTCCTTTATATTTTATGAGCTTTCTCTTGAAAAACCTGATAATCTGCTAACACTACTGTAATTCTTTTCGTCTTGTTTTAATTGTTCCTGCTTTGTAATCCTTTTATTGTTTTTGCATTGCTCTCTTTGAACCTGTTAGTATAAGGCTTTTTGTCCCTTTCTTCTCAATTTCCAAGTTGTTTGCCTTTTCTTATACTGTCTGGAATAGTAGGCCATGAAGAACCCCATTGTCACAAACAAAAACTTTCTTCTTCTGATCTTTCTCTTTGTTGGGTTTTTGGTTCTGTGCAAATGTGAAGATGATCAGGACCAGTTCTTTTCTATAGCACCAATGGTGAGGAAAGAGCAAGCGGCCCTATATTCTGCTGTTCAAGGATTTGTGGGGAAGTGGTGGAATGGCTCGGATCTCTACCCAGACCCTTGCGGATGGACACCTATACAGGTTTCATCAAATCACCTCATTATACATACATAACATTTATATATATATATATATATATATATATATCTTTGATGGCTTTAATATTGTTTCCTCAATGTTATTTTAATATGAGATTTTTATTTCAACCATCAAATGCAGGGAGTTTATTGTGATCTCTTTGATGGCTTTTGGCATGTCACTGTTTTAAACATTGGTCTAGTTTTTGAAAACTCTCTGCGGTGTAGCCTGGACGCAAAGTTCACACATCACCTCTTTGAGCTTACTCATCTAAGATCACTCTCATTCTTCAATTGCTTTTTCTCACCTACATATAATCCCATTAGAATTCCCTCCTCAAACTGGGAAAGATTCTCAAACAGCTTAGAATCATTGGAGTTTCGATCAAATCGCGGTCTCATTGGTACAATTCCAAACTCTATGGGCTGCCTCAAAGAGCTCCAATCACTATTGCTACTAGAAAATGGATTAACTGGAGAATTGCCTATAGAACTGGGCAGCTTGGTGAATTTGAGGCAACTTGTACTTGCTGGAAACCAGTTCACTGGTCAGATTCCACCAAGTTTCGGAGGGTTAACTGAGCTACTAATAATGGACTTAAGCAGGAATAATCTATCAGGGTCATTGCCATTTACTTTTGGGAGTAATTTCACTTCTCTCCTAAAACTGGATTTAAGCAGCAATAAGTTAGAGGGAAAGCTACCTAAAGAAATTGGAAGCCTGAAGAATGTCACTCTTTTGGACCTTGGGAGAAACAATTTCTCAGGTGGGTTGATTCAGTCATTTCAAGAAATGGTATCCTTAAAAGAGATGGTGCTATCAAATAACCCTCTTGGGAGTGACCTCATGGGAGTTCAATGGGGAAACTTGCAGAGTTTGGAAATTTTGGATCTTTCCAACTTGGGTTTGACTGGTATAATACCAGGGTCCATGACAGAAATGACAAGGTTAAGATATTTGGGACTTGATGATAACAATCTGTCCGGAAATCTGTCTCCAAAGCTTGCAACTCTACCTAGCCTTGGTGCTCTTTACATTAACGGAAACAATCTGACAGGGAAGCTTGAGTTCTCAGAAGGGTTTTATAAGAAAATGGGGAGGCGGTTCAGAGCTTGGAACAACTCAAAGCTGTGCTATCAGGCTGAAATGATCTCATCATCAAGCCATATTCCTATTGGGGTTAAAGCTTGTTAACAAGAAAATCACTGCAGAGAAAAACCCATACTCGTTCATTAATTGATGTTTCTTCAGGTAAAAGCTCAAGAGCTTATGGGGGTTTTAAGGGTTTTCATTAAAGGGCAAAGGAAAAGATTATTGATAAAAGCAAATGCACGGTTGCTGATTTTCTACTAAAATGAACTGTCGTGTAAATTCCCTTTAAAGAAAATTGTAGTTTAATATTAAGCTTAGAGTTGGCATTGAGATGGACCATTAATTTGTTCCATTCTCGACTTGGAAAATTTCTTTCTTTTTCTCTTTTATTTGTTAGTTATTTCCCCTGCTCAGCAAGCTTACACTATCAATTTTTGTTTGCTATGCTAAAGAAGAAAGAGGATGGAGTTAAATTCTTAATTTTTATTACTAATTAATTTAATAAATTTATAAAAAATTATACTTTTTTCATCAAAACAACCAAAAATAATATATTCCTTTAATCACTTGAATCAAACAAGATTGGTGGAGATATAAGGCTTTCAATGCTAACATTTTTACCTGATTATTGAGAAATGGTTAATAATACCAAGTCAAAGATTTTGGTGACCCTTAACTCCATGGTTACCGCCAACAAATCCACTATCTCCACTTCTCTGTCCCCATTTTTTTCTCCCTTGTAGATAACTAACCTCCAATTTCAGTTTCACTTCTATTTAACTTAAAGCCTAGCCAAAAGCCTTCATAATTTCTGATGATCCTGACCACACTTGCTAAAACAACAATGGCTTCTCCTTTCAGCAAGTTGCAGGTTTTCCTTTTGTCTTTCCTGATCCATATTTACATAGCAATTTGTGCCGAATTTGAAGTTAATGGAGATAATGGCTGGATTTCACCAAAGCATGACGATCAAATCTACAACAAATGGGCAGCCAGTAACAGGTTCAAGGTTAATGACACTATCCGTAAGTAACCTAGTACTAGAACTTCCTATCGACGTAAACAATATTGATTAATGTTTCTGTGTCTTTTCCAACTTGATTTTGTTGTTTTAATTTTGTTTTTCCAAATGTGTTTCAGATTTTACGTACAAGAAAGACTCGGTGCTAGTGGTGACAGAAGAGGAGTATGATAAGTGCCAGCCCTCTCATCCTCAATTCTTCTCCAACAATGGTGACACAGTCTTCAAATTGGACCGACCTGGTTTGTTCTATTTCATCAGTGGGGTAACTGGGCACTGCCAGAAAGGGCAGAAGATGATCATCAAGGTGTTGGAGCCAGCAAGTCCGCCGCAACAATCCCAGAACATGAACAGCACCTACAATACACCAGAGACTAAGAAGAATGGTGCAGTTGAGGTTGCCGCCGTAACCTCTTCTACTATTATGCTGCTTCTTATATCAGCTTTTTGCTAGCTTTTTAATGTAGTTTTCTCTTTAGGATTCATGATTTGTGAGCTTCATATTTGATGCTAGGAGAATACTCATCTGTTTTGAAAAAGTTTATTTATGTTCTATTACAACTATTTTTGGTAAGCACAACTATGGATATTAAATATAATTAGCAAAAATAAATCATTAAATTTTGATAGATCCAATAATTCATGTATGTGTTTCGTACATCAAATAAGCGTAAAAAGACGTCAAACTCAACATTTTTTTTTGTTTTTGATACACTCATAATTTTTACTAAAATTTTAAATCAAATTTAAAATAAAGCCTAGAATTTTGAAGACTGAAAACATAACTTGCATACATTTTAAGGAAACACTGATTCATTTTAAAACCAAGAATCACTATGTATGTTCAAATTACAAGATACCTTGAAAACCTAACAAAGCTATCTTGATTTTGAGCTGATCCACACTCTTTTTCAAGAAAAAATGTGCAAAATTGTTGCAGATCCATGCAGCAACTTCCCCAACACAGCATCTGCTAATACCTTATGAATGGCCTCTGAATGACACTTTAGCTAATACCTTACAAATTGCCGTTTATCATCTTCACTTCTCTGCCTCCCATAAGGGTTGCTTTCACTAAAATTGTTGCCTTCAACTTTACGCATTTTCTTTCTAAATTTGGATGCGTTGCTGTCGATATTCAGATTAACCTTTGGAGGGCATGAAAAGCAGAAGGAAGCGGCAACAGCCTGCTCAAAAACAACAGTTTCCAATTCTTGTCGGTCAGCTTATAATACACAGTTATTTACAAAATTTCGTGACTAACACTAATTTCAGTGTGAAAATATTCTATCACCAGAAAATGATCGATTTAGATTCTAACACATTGAAAAAAAAGATGCACAGAATAGAGATATACATTTTAGAATGCCAGAAAAAGATTGTACCTGCAGATCAAGGCGATGCACATTAAAGGTATCTTTCATTGAGTGTGAATTGTATGCTAAAATGTAGGATCGATATGCATCTTTAGCTGACTTGTTTAGATAATAGTTGTTTGCCACCAACTTCTCCTGCATCATTCCAAGTAGACACTCTTAAGTTCCTCCAAACTTTGTTATTTTGAGGAAACTATATTGAAGAAAGAAGCAAAAGGTTACCAGATGAGACTGCACATTCGCAAGTTTCTTCTCATCAAACTCATATTCCTTGACAGGAACTTTTGCTTGCTGTCATTAGAAATATACAGATGAAAGATACAAATTAGAATCAGATCTTTAAATTGATTGACCACCAATTTCAGGCCATCTTGTTTGTCAGACTACAGCCCTTTGCAAAAGCAATTTAAATCCTAACAAGATCCTTTCAACAATGCACCACAGGTACAGGTTATTTCCCCCCTTTTGAGAAGCTAACATTTGACTGCTCAAAGTTTCTTAATAACTGTCTTAAATCCCCACCCCCTGCCCCCCTTCCTTTCTCTCCAAGAAAAAAGAAGTAACTCAGCAGAAATAAGGCACCTTTAGATAGCGAAGAAATTGCAGTTCCTCTGGGATCAGGAAGAGAAGAGCATTTCCTTTTGCACCTTCCCCACGGGCAGTTCGACCAACCCTATGAATATATTCCTGAAAGCAACATTCCCAAGACACATATTTACATACATACACACATACATACATAAATACATATATATATATATATAAGAATAGCAATATACAATAATAGCAACATAAATATACAGAGCATGCACCTTTGGTTCATCTGGAGGATCATACTGCACAATCCAATCCTACACACAAAAAGCAAAACAATAATTTTCAGTCAAAATGATTCTTCCTCAAGTTTAAATTGACTGAGGTACTGAATATACATCTATTATGCAATGATGTATAGAAATTTTATTAAAAGGGGGAAAAAACCTAAATGTTAGTCATTTAAGTTTAAACTATAGTTCAGCTTCTATAAAGACTAGGTGACTTGACCAGCCATCTTCAAAATAAAGTTACTGAAAAAACTTCTTAAAAAGTTAAAATGTGGTACTCTTTATACCATAACAGAGTCCATCAAACCACACAGATGTTCACTTTGGCTCTAAATGCATTTCTACCACCATAAAGTTCATCCAAGTATCCAATGCCAGTCTACTTGCGAACAACTATGAAATTGGTAACCATTGACATTTTGATATAAGAAAAATTGAAAACAAAAATCATGTAGAAATAAACATAGCCAAAAACAGCCTTGGAATGCAATGCAAGCAAAATTGTGAGGCAAAACCTAATGAGATCAATGAAAACTAATGGACCTCGTGGGAGGCTATCATTGTCTCATTGTCCTTTTAAAGTAGTATGAATTTCTTTATTTTGCACAAGATGCTAATGCATTGTGCATTTTTGTATATAATTGATCATATCAATTACATATAATGAAAATACACGCTAAGAATGCTTGCACTTGGACCACAAACATATTAACAATAAGGTATCAATGTTCCAAAAAGGAGCAGAAAACATCAACAGAAAATCAAAAATAACTTGCATCACAAGCAACCCAGTTAAACAGGAAACTTACCACAGAAGGTATATCAAGTCCACGAGCAGCAACATCAGTGCAAAGCAAAATGCCCTTTTCTGCTTTGCAAAAGTCAAAGAAGGTAGTGGTTCGCTTTTGCTGCTTCTGCTTTCCATGGATGTCAAAGCAATCCACATGAATATATCTCAAAAGTTCTGAATGAAACTTGACTGAGTTGCATGAAGAGAAAAAGACCATCACTTTCTTGGACAGGTTCCTCTTCAAAAATGAATACAAAAGGATAAATCTCTTGGAACTATGCACAACACAATAGCCTTGCTGCAGCCCTTCATTGGTGACCTACAATGATGACAACGGCTTGTTAAGTCAAAGGATAAGTAGTCAGTGCAATTGACAGTGTATCTATAGATAACATCCCTACTATGTGACTACCTTCTTTCTCCCATCATCTACGTCAATATAAGTAGGAGTTGTCTGAAATGACAATCGGGCAAGGTCCTCAACCTGCAGATTTAGGCAAAAGTTACAATAAATGGTCACATGAATAACGAAGGAAGAAAGTTTGGAATTTTCCGTGTAAGAGGAAATATGCTTGCCAAACAATTTTCTGAAGAAAGCTAGTATACATGTGATTACCAGCAAACCTTAGGTTGAGTGGAAAATGGTCCAAAAACATAAGAGTGAAGAACAAACCTTCTTAGTCTGGGTAGCTGAAAATAGAGCAGTTTGCCTGTTTTGCTGCACATCAAATAGGAATTTAGTAAGCTCTAAACACCTTAGAAATTACCAAATCTAAGACTTGTGTATAACTGCAAACTGAAACGTATACATAAAATTTTTACTGGAGAAGCAGGAACATGATAGTGCAACTCAAGCAAGAGGCATTGATCTTGGTCTAAAGTTATGTCATAATCAGCAATATCCTAGCATCATTTGTCACCACTCAGGAGTGGTGGAATGCACTATTCTCTATTAAGCTTACTAACATTTTCCTGGTTGCAACTACAACCAATAATACATTTGCTACCGAGTTTACCAACATTTTCAAAAAGCAAAGTCTGTTAATCCCAGATATATGTTACTCTTTTGCAACATATATTCTAAAATTCAACTTAAAGAGTACTTGTATACCCCTTAAGTTCAAATTATTAAAGAATATTACACTAATTATTTTGGTTACCCTCCACTTAATTTTCAAGAAAAGCACTCAGGAAAAAGTTCATGAGACACAAGTAACTTCATAACAACTATATAAATGGTCAACGCAGATTCGCACTTTTTAGAAGCTCTATACTTTGCTTCATCATTGTGCAACATAATTATTAGAATAGAAGTCTATTTCTCTTCTAAAGAAGACACATCAGAAGTTGACAAAACCTAGTCAATGTAAAACAATTCAAATCTGATCATAAATTAGTTAACCAACTAAACCTAGCTCCTCAGAAAGCTAAACTTTTAATCCCAGCCATGTACCACTTCACAAAATATATTCTAACAAATCTAACGGGATTAGCATACCTTTATGAAATCAATAAGGAATGTTAGTACCACTATTTTGGTTTCCATTAATTTCATTTTCAGCAGTCCCAGATAAATGACATAATCCAAAATTATAAAATCCTGAAGTCACTCTAATCAACAAAATAAATGGCACAAAAGATTCACCTTAGGAAGATACTTGATAATTTGCTTCATTTCTTCCTCAAAATTTGCTTCCAATATCCTGTCAGCTTCATCAATCATGAGACACTGCAAATTCACAAAATTTTAAAAAATTAAATTCGCATGATGTATAACTACATCTGAATAATTATAATGATTGATTTAAATTTCTCAGGAAGCATAAGACTTTCAAGTTATCTGCATGAAACAGCTGTAAACTAATGCATTTCTAAACTGGTTTACGAATTAACAGAAATAATAGTTCACTAGAAGTACTTCAACCTACTCTATATCACGATGATGAGAAAACACGACATAAACACTCTACCAGCTAGTATACTCAAATTATAATAACTACCAAACTTCTATCAGTAACATGCATTTGTGAATTCGTTTTTATAATAAAGATCACTTTCTCATCCAGTTATCCTTTAAACAATGCAATACTGCAAATTCTTGATGATCTATCATCAAAGTTTGATCATTATACATTAAACTCAAAATAATTTGAGGTCGATCTGTCATTGGTAAACTACATTCCAATCAAGGTAATCTGTGGTAGGTTTACCAAGTATGCTACAACCCCCATATTACGGAGTATATACAGAACAATTTGGTCAGTTGTCATGAGCTAAATATGAAAAACACGTCATATGTTGACTTCCAGTTATGTCACCTATCTGATGCATCAAATGAAAAGTAGTATATTGAACAGACAACATACTTTAAGTAATAAGAGTAACTTCCTTAAAACACCAAGTACTCAGTGCAATTATCCTGGTTAATAATACAGTGTCAAAATAGCTATGAACAATCAACCACAAAAGAAGAACATAAAATCAAGGAAATTGAGTTTAAGTAAAATACATTATAAATCTAAACCAAATGAACATACAAACTACCATGTTAGATAAACAAAAAATGAATCACATTACAGAAGAGGTTCAGAAATGTTACTGTTACCTTCAAATTTTTATAAATAAATCCCTTTGTATTTTGAAGATGGTCAAGTAGCCGACCAGGAGTAGCCACTAATAAATTTACTCCCTTCACAATCCTCTCTGCTTCTCCTCTTCTGGCTGAACCACCCATAACCAATGCAAGCGTCTGAGAGTGATATTTAAGAAGATCCTTTGCCACCGCATGAGTCTGGAACATTTGAAGGTTCCATTGCTTAGTTATGAATTACATTGTTGAAATATTAAAGGTACAATATATAGCCAAAACGAAAACTAACCGAAATTGATATCGTCGACTATAAAAGAGAAGAAAAAGAAACTAAAAACAAATCCTTTTTTTAAGATTTGTATTCCCATATCATGTGATCGAGTTTCAGATAAAATAATGCTATTAAGAAAAGCAGAAGAACCATCAAAACCTTAAGAAATTACCAATATTTATACCATAAAAACAGCTCTTAGAAATCCATAATTTTTTAACTGCAAACATCTTTCAAATAAGTGATTTACCAACTTATTGTCCGCAACTACATACTGCATATCTACAAAGAAAAAGGTTTAACTGCATCCCTTTTCTTTTTTTAGAATTTATTTTCATTTTTGCCTTTTCTTTTTTTCTAGTGATAAATTTAATTCACATAGCAATTAGTATATTAACTTTGTTAATAAAACAAGAAAATTCTACAAATGCATCAAGGTGCTCCTACATCAAACTATAGACTGTTTTAAATTAAGGTTAAATTCAAACATAATAAGTTCATAAAGAAAAGCATCTTTAGATTTTCAAAGAATGAACCTCTTACAAAACACTTGGTATTTGCAACAGACAGCATAACAGTGGAGCAAGCTTTTAACTAAGTTACTTTTCAGAATTGGACGCTAACAAAAAATTCCAGTGAAATAACAGGAAAAAAAGTTCTAACCCAGAGAAAAATGTTGATAGTACCAAAAATGAACCAGGGTATCAATCTTTACCTGAATGGCTAGCTCTCTTGTGGGACAAATGACGATAACACCAGTTCCATTGCGAGGAGTGAATCGAACATTAAATAACAACTCAACAGCAGGTACCAAGAAAGCAAGGGTTTTCCCAGAACCCGTCCTTGCAGCCCCAAGAACATCTCTGCCAATCATAAGTGGTGGAATTGCTCTGGCTTGAATCTGCATTTTAGTTTGACACGTCAATTGTAAGATTGTAAGTCTTACCTAAATTAACCACATCAAAAGGATACTTATTCCCCATACACCAAGAGGTGGACTTTTTCTTTCGAAAATATTTACAGGTCAAACAGATACAAAGAAAAATTAGCATTGCATTCAATGGCAATGAACATTATTAATGGATGTCCTTTTCTTATTCAAATTATTCGCCTATACTTAAATGCTACACACAGAATAATAACAGATATTAAACTGCCCTCTTTAGAAATTTTTCCACTATATTCCATGGCTAACTTTTTTGTATATGCAATCCTATATTAAACTCTGAAATGAATTCGATACAAAAATTACACAAATAATTCAACTAAAATAAAATTGGAGAAAAAAAAAACAGATACCTGAGTCATATACTGAAAACCCATTTCTTTAATAGCTTTAAAAGTAGGCTCCGACAATCCCAAAGACTCAAATGACTCAGTGCTCATTATCCCACTTCCCCCACCCTTCACCTTCTCCTTTATCTCTTTCTTCTCTCCTTCTTTTTCTTCGTCTTCTTCTTCATTACTTTCCTCTTCCTCTTGCTTCTCATCATCTTCACTCTTCACCTTCTTATTTTTCTCCTTCTTCTTCTTCTTCTTTTTCTCCTCAACTTCAACTTCTCTCGCCTCTGCTTCATCCTCCTCAGGTCTCGCTTCTTCAAATTCTTCTTCTTTTCCTCCTCCTTCTCTATCTGTGTTATTATCAGGGTTTTGGGGCTCCGATTTCTTAGCTCTGTTTCTCTTTCGCTTCCTTTTCTTCTTGGTCTCTTCTAAAGAGGGAGACTTAGCGTTTTTCTCTTCCGGTACCACCATTGCTAATGAACCCCAGCTAACACAGACCAAAAATTTTTCAGCTCCTAGCTTCCAGGGTTTGGTCTGTTTGCTTCGATGGTAATCCTTAAACCCTAATCTATTGAGCTTATATTGACTTAGTTGTCGACTGACTCGACCGACTTGATAGAATAGATTATGTACTGTAGGAATTGGGCTGCAACCTGGAGTAGAAATTGGGCTTATAAAAGATCTATTTATAATAGGCCTGGGCTTGCTGATGGCACTCTGCTTTAGGCTCATTTGTTTGGAATAAATCAGTTTTTTTAAAAATAATGACTTAATAAAAGAAAAGTAGATATTTTTCTTTTTTAAATGATTTAATAAAAAATATTTTCTAGCATATAGTTATTTTCTGAATTTTTGTTTTTTTAAATATTAATTTTACATATTATTAAAACATTAAAAATAGTAGTATTTTAATATTACTATTTTAAAATAGTAATAGTTTAGTAATAGTTTTTATTATTAAAATATTAAAAATAATATTTTAATACAAAAATATTTAAATAATACTATTTATTATTAAAATTTTGTTTATATTAGCATTTTAAAATATTTTAAATTGTAATTATTATCAAAATATCATTTACATTAATATAAAAAAATAATATTTATATATTTTAATTATAATACACTTGCATGAATATCAACTTTATTTTGGCCTTCATATATTTTATAGTACACATATTAAATAAGACAATAAAGGAAAAAAAGCATTGTTGGGTGAAGGAAAGGGAATTCCAGGCAATCAAGTGAAAGGGATAGGAAAAATAAAACTCTTATACAAATATTCCTTTTAATAATGAGAAAAAAGTAGTTGTATACAGAGAAAGAATAATCCTCTTCAAATAAACCATGGTTGGTTGGATGTCCATATCATATTCAAATCAATAAATTAGTTATAGAATTTTCCCCTTTCATCATTGCATTAAACAAGTAAAAATTATGGCCAAAATACTAGCATCTTTCACTTAAATATCTAAAACACAAACATTTTCAATTTATTTTGAAAATAAAATTTATCATTTGAAAAGCAAATTATTTATGCACGACACGTGATTTGATTGTTTACACTTTAGTTGTGTAAATTTTGTTAATTAATAACTACATGCATATTTGTTCGTATATTATAAAATAGGTGTTATAAAGTTTGAATTCGAATTTTAATATATATAATTTTCTTTACATCAAAAATTTTATCAATTGCTATCATGTTGCGGGCCGAATTTGGGACACTTGATAATGATATTTTACTACCATTTGGTTAGATTTTAATGTATCTTTATCTAGAGTTTTCGTTGCGAGAAGAAGATGATCAATGCAAAAAGGATAGCCAAAAGTAATATAAAATCAAAAGAGAAAGGAAACATGTGATGATGGCATTCTCCACTTAGAAAGAGAGGGAGACATACGCATGAATTCTCATGATTTGGTTGCTCTATTGGCCTTCCTTGCAAGACATTTCATATTTAACTATATGCTACTCATAAAACCTTAATAATCATGGACCAATGTGGATAATTTTTCCTCATTTAAGCTATCATCTCGTTAGAATTATGTCCTAATCAAATAAAAGATTAATTAGTGAATTATAGTGAGAGATTCACTTTATAATAAAGATAAAAAAACAAAAGAAGAATTCATATAAGAATGATAACGAGTTAAATCACAACATATTATCATTCGAATTGGTTTTGATTTTGGCTATTCAATATCTAAATTCAAATTTTATCCAATTTGATTTTAAAATATTGTTTTTTTTATTTGATAAAATCTATATATTCATAAATTGTAATCAACCATATCTAAAATTGATTTTATAATTTTAATTTAGTACAATATTTATAAAATATTATTTTTAATATAAATTATATCTAAAATTATACATAAATATAGTATTTGTATTAAGTTAATATATTAAATTAAAATATTAAATGATAATTTTATTAATATAACACGTATACGATAAATTATCAAATATATTGATAATTAAATTTTTTAATTTTATAAGTAAGGTTAAAACAATAATACTATTGATAATTGAGTTTAAAATTGAATCATCGATTTCAATATTAGTAATAATAAAAAAAGTATATATTTAAAATGATAATAATATGATATGTTTAAAACAATAATAAAAACTCTTTTAAAATAAAAAAAAAAAAACTTGTTAAATAAAATCTTTCAAATTCAAAAATATTTCCTTATAGCATAAGAGAAATTAAATGCACCGTTAAATCCGACGCTCTCGTAGCAATCAAATCCACGTACCAAACCAAATATATAAATATTTGCTTGAAGCTTGAGCAAATCAAGCTCATTACTAATTATTTCCGGTTGGGTCAATCATCCAAACTTAATTCCACTATTTGATCACTTTCAAAATGCTCAAAAAAAAAAAAAATTAAGGGTTAATATATAATTTGGTCAATGAATTATATTACTTTTAAGGATTTGATACTTACAATAAAATATAATTAAGTATTCAAATTTTATTTTTATCATATATTTTATATCATTGATTAACATAATTAAAATGTTAACGTGACAAATATTGATCAATAAAAAAATTTCACATGTCATATTATTATTGGTTATATTTTTATCGTATCAATTCATCGATAACAAAATTAGTATGTAAAGAAAAATAATTTAGAAAAAAAATCCAAGTATCTAATAATAAATTTTTTAGAAATACTAAATTTATTAACCCAAATTCCATTGATTTTTGTTATTTTTGTCTTGATCAAAGGAACCACATTTAAGTTAAATCTCCAGCAATTACAGTATAATCCTCTATATTCTTGACTTCAACATTAAACGATATTTTTGTTTCGAATTTGAAATTTAGTTGAATTAATTAATCACTTTTAAAAAATAATATCTAATAAATTTAATTTTTATATAAATTTTTTTATCTACATAATGAGCATAACTCATGAGAAAAGAATAGAAAATTTTATTTTTTAATATTTTTTAAAGCTTTTTTAAACACTAAATCAAAAGACTAAGGTCAAAGAAAATCCCTTTTCAATGAAAAAAAAAAAAAAAAGAATGAGTGTAGGGTTAGAGCGGTTAGTGACTATTTCAAGGGAAAAAGTGAAGAAAAAAAATTTATGTTAGGACATGTTTGTTTGTCAGCATTCACCCAAGTTAATTCCTACCCAGAAAATAACTAAGAAAAATGCAGCAATCAACACCTTTTGATTTAGTTGACCATGTAATGAATACTCAATCATAGCCACTTGATTAAGGAAATCACCATCAAATTTTAAATTTCAAGGATCCATAATCTTTAGCTGGTAAGTGAGCTATGGATATTACCTACCAGCAATGACGGTGTGATGGAACGGTAGCATATTGAAGCTGATGCAGCTCGCTACGCCATAAAACACACTTCCTTTGCTTACTTTGAAAAAGATTTAGGAAATTTACAAAGTGGACCCAAAGCCTTTCTCATTTTCTAACGTTTTGGTCCTTCTAACAATAAATTCGACCGTTACAATTCCCCATTCAAATTTTCAAAAAGTTCTAAATGCCTGCTACCCTCCACTTTTTTCTTCTTCCACTCGGCCCTAAAGATTTTTTTTTAAAGAGTAAATGTGATAATTCAAATATTTATGTGATATTTGATATTATTAAATATGTATAAAATATAAAAATTATTATATTATAATTAATATTGATATGTTAAACATAATATATATCTATATATTTCAAAATCATATACATTATTTATCATTTTCACATCTAAAGATAATGCCAAACTTGCCAAAAAAAAAGTCAACATATGGAGTGGCAGTAGCTTTTCACTTTAAAATAACTGATCTTCCCGGCTTTACTATCAACCGTTCATGCCACCGTCAAACCAACGGCTTAGATATATTCCCCAATCTGTCATCTTTTCCCTCTCTTTCAAGTCTTCCTGTTTAGTTAAGGCTTTTTAGACTACTCTTCTCCAAGCCACAGTCAGTTTCCAAAGTTTTCATTTATTCCAGTAAAGGACTTTACTTCATTCTTTCTTGCATTTTCAGCGATTTTTCTTAAGTGGGTGTTAAAAAAAAAAAAACCATCTTGGGGCATTTTTGGATAGTGAGGAAATCAAAGAATGCCAGTTTCAACTAGGTCTCAGATCAGCAGTCAAGAAGAGCAGCAAAGGAGCAGAAGCAGAAGATCAAATGAAGAAGAAGAAACCCAGGTGAATGGTGTTAATAACAATGTTCCAATGAGGAATCCACATCACGGGTTGAAGGAAAAAATGAGAGCTTTAACTCTTTTATATGAACAACAAAAGAAAGCTTCTGCAGCTATAAGAAACAACCCATCTCCAAAACCTGATCAAGACAAGCGTTTTTCAACTCACCCAAGTGTTGATCTTCTCACTTCTTGCAAAAGACAAGAGAGAAAGGAAGAGAAAGGGGAAAAAGACTCCAAGGTTAACAATGTTATGAGAGAAAACACGTTGCCAACATTGCCTACAATGGCTAATTCTACAGTGACTAGAACTTTTGTGTTGCCTCAACCACCTTTGGATGATGCAAAGGAGAATCTTTTGATTGGTCCTGATAAGATTATTGGGTTTTCTTCTTGTGCAAGAAAGGCCACAACGGCGGCTGAGAAAACTACAGTGGCGAGGAAGCTGTCAATGGGGGGAATTAAGAATTTTCAAGAATTGGAGAAAATAGAGAGTAGTGCCTGCACTAAGAAAAATGGGACAGTGGGTGGAATTGATAGTAGAATTCTTGTGTTTGTAAGGCTTAGACCTATGGCAAAGAAGGAGAAGGAAGTTGGTTCGAGGTGTTGTGTTAAGATTGTGAATAAGAGAGATGTTTACTTGACTGAGTTTGCTAATGAGAATGATTATCTTAGACTAAAGAGGCTTAGAGGCAGGCATTTTACTTTTGATGCTTCATTCCCGGATTCCACTGGTCAACATGAAGTTTATACCACCACGTAAGTTTTGTCCCAAAAGTTTTATGTGTTGTCCATTTTGAAATGAATTATAGTCAGTGTTGCTCCTTACCACTGTTTCATTTGGTTCTTTCTCTTTGTTATATGCTTGGAAGCTAGGAAAATTTGAATTTAAAAATGGATTTATCTATCTTGGAAAAGGAATTTCCTGATTGTGAATCTGAATGAGTAATTGGAACTATTTTTATTGATCAGACCAAACATTGTCATTGTCTTCAGTTCATAGTTGATACAGCTTGTGTTGAGGTTTTATTTGGCTTTCTGTCTTTGTTTTCACTTGTTTCAGCAATAATGTGTTTGTAGTAGAGAAAATGATGCCTTGTTTGTGTTTCTGGTTGTTTTAGCTTTTCACAATAATGAGCAACCAAAAGGGAAGATAAGATTTTTGTATGTAGAAAAAGCTACTGCTAATGTGCCTGAAAGTTCAAGGGCAACTTGTGCGTTGAATTAGAATGTGTCCAAGTTTCTCTGGTATTTTCAATGAATTAACTTCTTAGGAACCAATTTGAACTTTCAGCACTGCAGAGCTTGTGGAAGCAGTTTTGCAGGGAAGAAATGGCTCAGTATTTTGCTATGGTGCCACAGGAGCTGGAAAAACTTATACAATGCTAGGCACTGTGGACAATCCAGGCGTGATGGTTTTGGCAATAAAGGATCTTTTTACAAAGATTAGGCAGAGAAGCTGTGATGGAAATCATGTAGTTCATCTCTCCTATCTTGAGGTCTACAATGAAACCGTCAGGGATTTACTCTCTCCGGGAAGACCTCTTGTCCTGAGAGAAGATAAGCAGGTTTGCTCTCTACAGCCTTGATATTTATACTACTTCAATTCCCTTGTTTCTGCATCTCCCAGCAATTCAGTTAAAGTATTTTGTAGAGAAGTAATTTTTTCTTTAATTGCTAAGCTTTTGGACCCAATGCAAATGAAGTCACAAAATTCTTATCAGATTAACATGTCCAATTGTTGATTGTTCAATGAGAATTAGCTGAAAATACTTGCTTTTATTGCATATTATCCAAATCTGCGAACTTCGTGGTACTACTACAACAGTACCATATTATTATCTGTTATGGGGAACTTAGTATGTTGTCCTCTATATTGATAAAGTTTCTCCTAAAATCATCGAAGTGGATTTTTTTGAAGTGTTTTTGCCAGACTGATTAGAAAGAAATCTATTCCACTGTGTTATCCTTCATAACAGATGAATAACTGATGTTTCAGGTACAATGGTTGTAAGATACAAGGAAATAGTGCTATTTTTAAAAAATTATTTAAGCAAACACTAACAATTTTATAAGCCACATTTATGGTCTTCTATATATTGTTTAAATTCTAATTTTAAATGCCTTGATTTTATCTCAGAAAAGTGCTTGATCAATGTAATGCAGGGAATTGTTGCAGCAGGGATTACACAATACAGGGCTTATTCCACGGATGAAGTAAATTTCCTAACTCAATATCATATCTTAGAAGGGTAGACAGTTGATAGAATGGAAGGGATATAACAGTTTTTCTGGGTTGTGGCAGGTGATGGCATTGCTTCAAAGAGGAAACCAAAACCGAACCACTGAACCAACTCGTGCGAATGAAACGTCCTCACGATCCCATGCAATTCTTCAGGTACCAATAATGATCTGTGACTGACCACTTTCTTTCTTCTTCTAATCTTATGATATTCTTATTTATATGAGTTGCTTTTCATCTAGGTTGTGGTTGAATATAGAGTCAAAGATGCTTCAATGAATGTCATTAATAGAGTTGGAAAACTCTCACTCATAGATCTTGCTGGCTCCGAAAGAGCCCTTGCAACTGATCAGAGAACACTTAGATCACTGGAGGGTGCGAACATTAATCGGTCACTTCTTGCACTGAGCAGCTGCATCAATGCCCTTGTTGAGGGTAAGAAACACATACCGTACAGAAACTCAAAGCTCACACAACTATTGAAGGACTCATTAGGTGGAGCTTGTAACACGGTAATGATTGCTAATATCAGCCCAAGCAATCTCTCATTTGGTGAAACACAAAATACTCTACATTGGGCTGACCGAGCCAAGGAAATCAGAACCAAGGTTTCTAATCTCTTTATCATTTCCTTATCAAGATTTGACCTTCTATGCTTGCGCCTGTTTTTATTGCTAGGTTGTGTTCAGTTTCATGCTATACCACTTAGACATTGTTTCTTCCAGTTGGATCTTTCAATGGTTTTTAGCACCCAAAAATTTGTTTGTTTACATCTGCTCGCAATTATTCATATTCCTTGCACTTGCAGGCATGTGAGGCAAATGAGGAGACACTTGAAGTACCTGAAACTGGAACCGATCAGGCCAAGCTTCTGCTTGAACTGCAGAAGGAAAATCGTGAATTGCGAGTACAACTGGCACGCCATCAGCAGAAGTTGCTAACCCTTCAAGCTCAATCCTTGGCTGAAAATGCTTCTCCAACCCCTTCTTCAGTTACATCTCTCCTGACTCCCCCATCTACCGCCCAACAAAATGGGAAGAGGAAACCTCGATCCACCTTCTTAATTGGAAACTGTTTCACACCAGAATCCAGAAAGAGGGGAGCAGAGGAAGCAGTTAAAGAGCTTAGACTGACAGTGAAGGCATTGGAACTGGAAATGGCGAGAATGAAGAAAGATCATGCTTCACAGTTAAAGCAGAAAGATGATATTATTCGTGAGCTTTCAAGAAAGAATGAAAAGCCATCAGAAGTAGGTCTGAAGAGGGTTGTTACAAGGGCTAGCTTGCGGCCAAAGCAACCAAACCCCGGGGAATTGAAGAGCCCAAGTCATCGTTTTCGATCACCAGTCCCAACAACCAAAAAAAGAAGTTTCTGGGATATAACAACAGCTACCAGCCCATCAGTCTCTACGCTGAATGGAAGAAAAACAAGAAGCCACGTCATTTCAGAACCTGTTGCAGCTCCCTCCATGCTACTTCAGGTGCAGTGATTTTTTTAACCTTATCCTTTCTTTTATTTTGAGTGGGTTCGTTTTACTTTTAAGGTCATACTCGTATGCAAAAAAAAAAAGTATGTTCTGCATAATGCTTTTTTTTCTTCTTTTCTTCTGTAACTAATGCACCTTGCCTATCCATGTTTCTGGTTTGTGTTAATGTTTGGACCACACATCGCCAACTACATCATGCAGCCAGGATTTGCCCGTCAAAGACCTGATGCTCTGAAGTAACGAAGAAGAGAGTAAGAAGGGAATAGTAAAAAAAAAAAAAGGGGGTGGTGCTTTTGACGGTCTCTCTCCTTCCCATGACATTCTCCAAGCGAGCTGGTCAATCAACAAGGAAGCAGAAGTTATTGCTTGCTAATGTGGCGTACTCGTATTTTTCCTTATGGGTCATGACCAATCAAATTCCACTAGAAAGAGAAGTTCTTTTATTGTCTTTTCTTTTTTCTCACTTGATTATTTCTCGTTGAGGTCACCAGCAATTACTCCACTAGTGTTTTACTTTCAATTTGAAGCTCATGGAGCATCTGGAGACCAAAAAATCCATGTATATTTATGTTGATTTTTAATTCAGAATTTAATATGATTAATGTTTAATTTCATCTTACCATTCAACACAAGGATCATAGGCATTCTCAATCATACATGTTGAGGCAGCCCAAGTTGAAAGAAGCAATATGTGAATTTTTTATTGCTTGGAGACTAGGGTGGAGAATTTCTGTATCAAAGGGCTAGTCCACAAGAAGTAACTGTTCAGGCAAACAATCCCCTTCTATGATTTTACTTATTACAAGCCCTTTCATCATCTTCAAGCATGAGTTGCCTAGAGGCCTCTGATATTTGCTGCTTGGTGCTGCTGTATTTTAGGCATCATATATCCTTGAATCAGCCAAATGAACCCTAAGCACATATCAAGGTTTGGGCAAAGATGGAATTGAACTCTAACTAATTACATTAAAGTTATAGAAAGCATCCATAGATAAAAGTGTTACAAATATCCACATAGGCCAGTGCACTAACCAATGGCTTTTTTTGTACATAATATACTGAGATTAGAACTTAGAACCACTAATGGAAGAGTCAACGAAGCTTGCCTATGGTAAAAGAAAATAAGTCCTAAAAAGTTAGCTCTCTAAACTTGGGTCAGGATCTGGTTGCTTGGGGGCAACGGCACCACCGTTCATTCTCGCTCGTGCCTCAGCAAACATTCTCTGCTGCTCAGCTACTGCTTCTTCCTCGGTCATCTCTGCTCCATTGCTCCATTTGCCACCTTTCAAAGAGTCCTGCTGAAATGCATTTCAAGAATACCATCAGTGAATAATGTTGGAATGTGCATCTGTTATGGAATCAAATTCAAAATGTGTATTGTATTGTTCACTAAGCCAGTAATATGGCCAAAAAGAACTGAAGGAAAAGAAGACTCTTAATAGAACAGTGTAGCAATAGATTGCCAACTTCTTGGTCAATAACCAGGAAAAAACCTATACGCCTATTTAACACGATTTTGAAGAAAAAAAGGTAAATGAGAAAGAAGAGAAGGGGGAAGAGATAAAATGTGTTGTCAATCTCATTTTTAAGAAACTACGATTCAGTTTCCCAAATATTGACAGAAGGCTAAATGCCAACAAGTAGCAAGAAGACAAACAAGTACCATGGTCTCAATCTTGTGTTGCTCATATGCAGCATATACCTCTTCAATGTACTCTCCAAACCCAAGAACCTGACAAATCACATGCATACGTAAAGTTTAATAACAACTATTTTACATGTAAATCTTTTATGCATTCTTAGAACTAAAACATGGCATGATCAGAATTAATGCAAGTCAGTAGGGCACAAAATGGTAACCCATGTCAAATTATGGACCACTGTTGTTAGCAAATGAAATCTCCAATATGAACCAATTCGATCATCAAAGGAAAGTTACAAAACTTCTGCTTAATACTACCTCTACTACTTCACAGAGTGCTGAGGAAAAAGAAATATGTAGAAGAACATATATGAGACCCTATCTTTAAAATGGCAAGAGGGCTAGTAAAGGCATAGCTTGATGCGACAACAAAAATTTCCTTCTTGGTCACCTGATAGCTGGATTAAATAAAGATAATATATCCACATGGTGCTTAAGTTCTTATCGTAAGAGCAGTTTTAAAATTCTAACCATTTTTACTTAAGATTGGAAGGAGGCTAAGTGCCAAAAAACATAAAAAAACTGCTGAACCATATCAGCATATGCAAAGGTCCTATTCAAGGCATTACTTTTTCAATCCTAATAAAGAAAACAAATGTGGACAAATAAAATAACAAACATAAAAGGACCAAATTAAAACATGAAAGTAGGTTGATAAGATAGAAACCCCTAAAGCCTTGAGTACATGCTCAGGTGCTATTGTTCGTTTCTCCTCTCTGTTACAAACTTCATTGGACTCTGATGAAATAAGATTAATAAACTCTGCAAGAGGATTAAAGTTTTCATCAATTACAAGAAATAAGAAGTTAGTACTATCAATTAAATTCTAGTTAGAGACAGTAAAAATCCAATGATGTAAAAAATGACAATTGAATATAGATGGTCGATAAACTTGCCAAACAACATTCTAACAAGCAAAAGTTTTCCTCCCAAATTTTCAATGACAACAAATACTGGGAGTATAACCATAAAATACTACTTACCAATTACATGAATCTCAACTCAGGTTTCAAGACCAATTTAAAATCTAAAATAATTGATACCATATTCCTTTTTCACACATTTTTTAAATGAAAATCAAAACCATCCATCTTTTCATTCTAACATTTCAATTAAAACAATTAGAGTAAAGAGTCAATTGCAGTGCATCCATGAAGAGTCATAAAACTGAACTGCAAGGTGGACAGCAATCTTTGACCAAGCAATCGGATACCTTAAAGCAAATTTCAAGGTGTTCTAAAGTAAGAGAGGCTTTCATGGCCAAAGAAAGGGGATCTTTGAAAACTCTTGGCAGGAGGTGACACGTAGAAAATGGGTGTCAAACATTTTAGTCAAAAATGATTCCTGCCATGAAATGGTAGGAGGTATCATGTAAATAAACTTTAGAGGATTTCTAGCACTGAAAGATGAGGAATTTCATTAAGCAATTATCAAATGAATAGAGAGGCCCATGTTGGAGCAAGCTTCCTAGAGAGCTTGTCAGTGACCAAGAAACTTTTCACAGGATACAAAATCAAGAATCTTGGAATATTACTCAAAATGCAATTCAAGGGAGGTTGCATCCTTAGAAGGTTAGGTCAAGTACTTATAAGGGATGCACTCTTCCTGTGCTTACAAGAGAATGATATTTGACAATTAATCATTTAAGGGCAGATGATTGGTTCAACTTTGTCGGGGTTAGTTACTCAAAAGGTCTCTGAACTGGCTTGACTAGCAACTAGGATTCCTTTTTTCCATCACAAGCCAGATGATGTGAAACTTATACATTAACAAAATAAATTTGAGTTCAAAAGCTCACATGTTGGGTCAAAATAAATCAACAGTGACATGCAACAACAAAGCCTGTAATATCGAAGATGTAACTACAAACGAATAATGGGTAAGTAATCACTAACACAGAAGTCAACAACTCAGCTTTATAAAAAACCTTAGAAAGAAATTTGAGGTGTTAACAGTCAAAAGAATATACGGAGGCCATAGAGACCCAGTGGAATTGTATGACATTAAACTGATACTGATTAAAAAAGAAGAAAGATTAAGCTTATTATCTTACCTACACAACACTCAATCAAAAGATCTTGAGTATCTCTTGCAACACGCACATCTGGTGGTAACATCTCCTTTATAATTTTGGTCATAGTTGCTGCAAAAAGGAAAATTATATATATATAATTTGCATCACAAGCAATGAAATAAATCTAAGCTAAACCACAGTGCTTAGGTGCAAGGCCATGGGCAGACAATTATATGTGATTACTATAATCTCATGAGCATGTGCATATGCATGAGGAATTGTTTTGGCTATTTTAATACACGAGTTTGACAACCCCCTTCTCTTTTTTATAATAATGAAAAGCAAAAGAAAAACAGAATCGTAAATCCTTTCACCAAAAGTGAATCATGTAAGGTTTTTAAAATATTACAGCCTGATTATTAGCTCATAAACTCCATTTCTCCATGTAACACAAGTTCACCAGGGAAAGCAAAGTATCAACCAGACTGAGGTATAATTGTCCACACATTTGCACCCTTTCCCAATTTAATGATGTGCCGAACGAAATTGAAATCAACTCCTTTCTAAAACAAACTTTGTCCCATTCTCAAAGTCATCAAAACCCCTCACATAGAAGCTCTAGACCAAAACCTCTTTTGGAGTTTGAAAATAATAACATAATTTAATAATCAAACAAAAATTTTTTTTTAAATAAAAAATGGAAAGCCTGTTGAAACCCTTGACACAGAAAGCATTAAGATAGATAACTCCTCCGGAAAAGCTCAAAAATCTCAGAATAGAATGTTAGTCTAAGACAAAACTAGGTTTGAACACAAATTTATGTTTCACATAGTGAAAGACAACGCACTTTCTTGAATTCATCTCATTATACTCACCTAACCTCATCAATTGAAGATTCTGCAACTTTAACCTTTTGGTAGCTTACTTTAGGGGAAAAAAAAACCTAATTAAGTTTTAATGGCAACTCATTCACTTATTCACTAATTCAAAGTATATATTGACATAGATAACCCAAAATCCTAAATCAAGAAGCAAAACTGCTATGACATATCGTTCTTAACTAATTTTGATAGCACTAAAAGAAACCCTAGCAAATCCAAGTATTAAATTTCATAAATTTAGAACAAGCAAACGAAAAAGGAGAAATTTTTTTAGAAAAAAATAAAATATCATAAAAATTAACAGAATAATTTAAAATAATAAAACGGAAATTAAGTCAAAAAACAGAGAAAAAAATAAATTACCTTTGGGAAGCGAAGCGTCCTCCTTCGACTTCCCTACGATATCCATCGGCTCCATCTTTTATTTCTTCAAAACACAAACAAAAAATCAAAATTCAACAGAGAATAAACAGATCTAAAACACGAGAGGGAGGAAACGGGAGGAGGAGGATAGACTCACCGAGTTACTGAGTCAAGACGCGGAGGGGTATTCTACAGATGGAAAACGCTAAACGAGTCAAACGATTCGTGATCCGAGTCGAGGGGGAGATCAAGAGGAAGGACATGGTTGATTTATGCAGTTATCATAGAAGGTCATAGCGCTTCACGATAAGAGAGTGAGCTCTCGTTCGCAGCCGATTAGGTCAACAAAAACAAACATTCAGGGGGACGCGAGGAATTTCCACGCGCTTCCTTAAGGCGCCGGCCTGATAAAAATTCGCACAATAAGTGGATCTAGTGGTTGGTACGTAGTTTAAACTTCGTTTTAAAGCGCGTGGAAGATTGTGGCTTTAACTCTCTAATTTTTTAGGAAGGTTTTATCTTTGTCTTTTTTTTCCCTTGTTTGTTTTTGGTCGACGGGGAAAATAAACATTGTTAGGAAAGTGTTTGATGAAATGCCAATAAGGCAAGAACAACAGGGTCTGACAACTGATGAGTCATTGCTGATACGACAAAAGCCATTCCTCTTCAAAACAAAAAAATAACGAAAGCCCACGTTGAAGACGTGGTGATGTTGGGTCAAATACAGGGGTTTGGTCTCCGAGAAAGAAACCGAAATTGGGCCTAGTCCACAAATTTTCTACCCCATCCGCTACTAAATAAGGCGATAAAAGTTTTTATTATTTTATCCAAGTAATGCATGCACTTTTGATTAAATCAATGATTGAAATTTTAATAATTTGAAATTGAGTATAAAAATAATTAAAAATAATTTTAAATAAATAGTAATTTTAAATTAATTAAAAATATATTTTATTTTTAAATAAAATATTTAAAATTCTCATGACTTAAAAAACAAAAATCAAAGTAGAAAGAATCATTTTCCAAAACTAGAGTCAAATCAAAATTGAGCTCATTCCTTTCCCTCTAAGAAGAACACTGAGTGTTAATGAGAATTAAGAAATTAAGGCTAGATTTTAAAGATTTTTTTTAATTTTTTGGTATAATTTTATATTTTTATCATTATTTTTATTTTTTATTCATCCAATAAACCCTCAATTAGTTTAAAAATCTATTCTAATTCTAAGACTAAATTTATATAATGATGATGATATTATTAATAAAATAACATATTTTATTAATTTTAATTTAGAAATATATTTAAAATTTTTAAATAAAATATTCTAATATTTTAATTAAAAAAAAAAAGAGAATTACTAGGTTGAGATGGGCTTGTTTAGGCATTTCAATAACGTCGGCCTGCGTCCTTTTCCCGCACCTATAAAAAAAACAAAAAGCAAAACCCGGTTTCTCTCTGGGCTCTGGCCCTCTCAGATTGGGACCCCCCTTTTCTCTTCTTCTCCCGATCCTACTACGACACTTAGAAACCCCCAAAATTGTCGCCCAAAACAAATACCTTCTTTAGTCAATCAACCACTGATTTTGTTGGATAGATTTTCTCTCTCATTTAAACACAAAATCAATCAAATAGGAAAAGGAAGTTATGGATTCGGACGAGGAGGATTACGTGTTCTTCGGTAAACCGATAGAGCGTGAGGAAGAGATCACCAACCGTCGGAAAAAAGCCGCCGCCGAGGCTTCTGGCAACCTCCGCTCCCTCCCTCCCTGGAAGCAAGAGGTTTAACTTTTATCCTCCTTTTCTTTTTCTTGCTTTGAGCTTTCCAAGGTGCTGTCTGTGGTTGCCTTCTGTTTTTTTATTTTTTATTTTTTTAAAGCTAGAAATGTCGCTTTAAGAAACCGTTTGGTTGCCTTGAAAGTTTGGGGGAAAAGAAAATGAAGAAAACAGTGAAAGAAAGCCTATGGAAAGTTTGGTTTATGCTTTTTTTTTTTCTTTTGGGTTTGGTAAATTACTATTTCTCAGTTGGCGGTTTCTTTGCATAATTTGAATCTTATGATAATCAAAGTAAATTGTTTTAGGTGGTATTTGAAGCTATATCAGTTCCTTAATAGGAATGTAAGCCTTTGATGGAATTCACTTCACTTGCAGTTGATTCTGAATGACTTGTCTTGGAATTGCTTAATTTTTTTTTTTTTTTTTTTGAGTCTCTCTTGTGGTGGCTTCCATACTTTTATGATTTTTTAACTCATGAAATCAATTCAGTCACTTTCATTCTATAACTGTATAGATAAGGTATGTAATGTAATCATGTAAGTATTTATTTATTATGATTTTTTAACTCATGAAACCAATTCAGTCACTTCCATTCTATAAATGTATAGATAAGGTATATAATGTAATCATGTAAGCATTTTTTTATTATGAATAGTCAAAAGACTTTGTTTTTTGTTGTATTTGAAATATATTTTTTCAGGTTAGAGATGAAGAAGGACGAAGAAGATTCCATGGTGCATTTACAGGTGGATTTTCTGCTGGTTATTTTAATACAGTGGGCACTAAGGAGGGTATGTCTCTTTATACTTTCTTACTAGACTTATGCCATTCACTTCTAAGGAATCATATTGCATGCCTTATGGTTTGTGGAACATATTTGCAGGTTGGGCCCCTCAGTCATTTACTTCATCACGGAAGAACAGAGCAGAAGTCAAACAGCAGAGCATTTTCAACTTTTTAGATGAAGATGAGAAAACTGTATGTTCTATTTCACTTTCCCTCCTGTTATGATTTTCACTGGCTGCATATAGGGATGAAAATAAGAAATTTGGACCTTCAATTTCTGGAATTTTAGCTATGGAAATATGTTTTTCCTATGCTGAGTCTTTGTTTATGGTTATTCTTTATTTTTCTGTGAAGAATTTATATGCCTATATATTGGTCTTATATTTGCTTGTCTGAAGCTGCACAATTTCTTTATCATCTGTATGTGCCTGAGATTTGATGTACATTTTCCCACATGGTAGACCCTTTCTAATGGATCTTTCTTTAAAGTTTAATCTCTCAATATATTTTCACATCTCTGTCATGGTTATTAATATTCTCTAATATAATATTTGCTAAAATATTGTTTAAATCTTTCATTTGTTGCAATATGGAAAGAAATGATGATTATTATACTAGAATTGCTTTATATTAATTATTAAATGCATAGGTATCTTTCCAGTTAAATATTGTTTTGGAATATCTGTTCTATGCATTCATTAACGAAAACTTCGCCAATGAAGATCATTTTTTGTAGCTCCTATTTATAAGACAGTTCATGAGAATCATAATGGAGTTTGAACAATGAAGTGTTGTTTCATATATAGAAATCTTTGAAAGTAGTCGCACAATCAGATTACCTGCTCGATGTGTTCACTGATTATTGTTGTATGTGCCTCTCGACTTTTTTTTTGTGTCTTTTAAGCAATGATTGGTGTTTGAAAAAGAATTGGTTTCATTATATCATCCTCTCATCTACTGCTTATAGGTAGATGATAAGGGATTTGCCAAAGGTAATTTGCTTCTAATTTTAAGATTTTTTTTTCAAGTTTATGATATTCCATGCTTTTGTATTTTAGGAATTGGAAAGTCAGAATTTGGGAACATCTTCACAGTTTGACACATTTGGATTTACAGCTGCTGAGTATGCTCGCAAACAAGCCAATAAGGAACAAAAGCAAAGGTCTGTCAAATGCTTCTATACATTTCTCCTTATCAACGACAACTATAGCACTAGATATGAAGTTAAAACTTCAATTGTTGCCAATTTATCTGTTTAGAGTTTTGGTTCTCAGTAGAAATCCATATTTTGAAAATTAAGTGCTCTCAAAGGTAATGTTGATTTTTGCCACAAGTGTGACTTATTTTTTATGCATTAAATAAAAGAATTTAATTTGCCATTTTATATAGCCCAACTTCCATGCTTTGTTCATTTTTGCTCCTTATGTCGCTGAAGGAGACTTGTTGAACACATTTGGTAGGATATGAAAACATTCCATATGGTTTCTGTTATCCCAGACTTAAGGACAGCCACCACCTCTATATCACAAAAATATTCATGTTATTTAATATTGGGATTCTTTATGACGGCGTTTTTCATTGCCATTTTCGTTATCATTGTTCTGTCATCCTCATGATCACCTTCTCTGTCATTGTTGATTTTTTTTTGTTATCTAATATTCTTCTTTCCACTATTGACACGTCAGCGCATGCACTTGCACCTCATGGCATGTGCACGCATGCGCATGCGAACTGTCTGATCTGCATGTCTTTTGTACTTCCTGGAGATATTTCTCTTGCAGGCAGTGGCTAAGGATTTTCTGGCTTCTTACTTATTTTTCTGTGTTTTCTGCAGGCCATCTGCAATTCCTGGACCTGTTCCTGATGAACTTATTCTTCCAGCCTCTGAGTCTATAGGTTTGTTGTGAATTGATAAATGTTTAGCTGCCAAGTAGTTTATCTGTATAGAGATTAAGCAACTTAGAGCCTCATTTTGCTTTTGTTGATTAGGTGTAAAATTGCTGCTGAAGATGGGATGGCGGCGTGGCCGTGCAATTAAGGACTTGCATGCAAGTTCATTATATGGTACTTTGGTCTACTATTATATGAAGAGTCTTATGCATTTTGTCTGATTTCTAGCTTTTGGGCCGAATGGATATGTGAAGCTTTAAGCTGTACATACTATCAGAATGCATTTAAGAACTACATATTCTATGATAATATAACGAAAGATTAGATTTGTCAACAGCTACTAGTTTACTGTTTTTCAATCTGAAGCTTCTATCCTCAGTCCTTACACCTTAAATTAAAAAAATGAAAATATTGATCTTGATCTATTTGTTGATGGAAACCTGTTCATGTTGAACATCCTAATTCTTGTGATTATATAGCAGACAGGGATCTTTATACGCTTTTCCTTGTGTGATGCTTTTGTTTTTAAGGGACTACATTTTGGGCTGAATATTCTCATCTTATATTTTATTACAGATGCTCGTAGAGAAGCTAGAAAAGCTTTCCTAGCATTTGCTTCCGAGGATACAAAGGCATCACATCCTACTGACTTTGAGCCTGTTGAGGGTGAACCTGAAAACTTCCTTGCGCAGCCTGCAGATGATGATGCTCAGTCTTCTCAAAGCTTACCTGTGAGAAGTTCTCCTTGTTATCAATATTAATATCTCTTGCTTTTATCTTTATGATCCTTTTTCAAATCACAAATGGCATTTATAATTAAGTGGGTTTATTTTCCTATCATAAGCAGTTTCTTTTTTTTTCTCTTTTGGGAATATTGAATAAGTGGCAGTTTTTTTTTTTTTTTTGGAAAAATTGGAAAAGAAAATATTTACTGTGTTTTAGCTTGGTCCATATATGTAGTAGCGTTTGCAACTAGTATTAGCTTAAGATTTGGAGTTTAAAATCTGTCAATTTGCTTACTTTTGTGGGCTTGAATGAGCAAACAGGGAAAGAGATCAGTTTTTTGACACATTGAAAGTAATCAAATTATTGTTCTGTTATAATTTCGTGCTGCAGGTTTTTGTGATCAACCCTAAGCAGGACTTACATGGTTTAGGATATGATCCATTCAAGCATGCTCCTGAGTTCAGGGGTACGTGATTTCTTGAAGGATAACTATTTACAGTGACTATTTGTATCGTCATCAGAAACATTAATTTTTACTGCCTTTTTATTTTCTTTTATTTGCAAATGCTTTCAGAAAAGAAGAGATCACGCTTGTCCAATGATAAGCAGCATGGCTACAGAAAAGCTATTTCAATAAAAGATAGTCTCTTTGGTTCCAAGTGTAAGATCTATTTTCTTACGAGCATGCCTTTTCCAGTCCTTAGGCATGTATTTTGTAATGTTTTGTCTTTCTTCTTCGGCATGTATTTTGTAATGTTTTGTCTTTCTCCAGTTTACCTTTTATGCATGAATTATTTACCTTAATAAAGGTTCAGTCACTAATTAGCTTAAATTCACCAGCAGGAAAAGCTGCTTCTGGGTTTGGAATTGGTGCACTTGAAGAATTTGATGCTGAAGATGAGGATATCTATGCTGCTGGTTAGTGTTTCACTTTTGTGAGCATGCATCTTGGAACCATTCATTAACTTTTATTGGTCCCCATAAAACAATGGTTGCCAGTTTTACTATCAAGAAGAAATCAGTCATGCTGACTGATGTGGAAGTCGAGAACTCATATCTTTTCTAATTTTTCTTTTTTATTTTTCAAATAAAGGGCTTTGAGTTGCACGCATTGATTGGAGATGTTTCCTCAGAATGTGATATTACCTTCCTTTTTCATTTGTGCTTTGGGGGATTGATTTGTTTAAAAATATTCTAAAATCCTTATCCCATAGGTTTTTCTTGATAGATGAATGTTCTTATTTTTAGTACTGTGATGAAAATTGGTATTTCACTCGGTCAATGTTGTTGAATGCCAACTTTACTGTGATTCATCAGTATCCTCATTGCTTGGGTTGTTGATATGGTTAAACTGTTTTTGGCGTTTAGCTTCTATGTCAGAGATCATGGAGTGCCAAAAATTTTAGTAGTTGCTAGTGTCCTTTGGGAATAAATTTATCATTAATTTGCCAATTCTTCCTGAGTTTATTAGTTTAATTTAAGCTGAAGGTATAGCTATTATCTAGGTTATGACTTTGAAGAAACAGTCATTGAAGAGGATGAAGAGCCATCGAGATTGAGCGTAGAGAGTAAAAAAAAGGCAGTTAGAAAAGACCAGGGTGTTCTGCGTGGTTTCAAAGTTGCAACAGTTTCTGACTACCAGTTAGAAAGGTAATTGTAAAGTAGTTGATGATGCATGTTTGATCACACATTTATCTCACTGTTTTGAATCTGTAATTTAGTCTCTTTTTTATTTATTTATTTGGAGAAGTAGTGTTCAATTTGTAATTCTTGTAGCTCTTTATGAAATTGAGGAAATTCTTCATTAACATATCCTCTTCCTTGGTAAGAAGGTGGGGTTGTGGTGCATGAAGAATTTTTTAATTTAGTACTGATCTGAAGAAATGATGGTAAATTTATTTATTTATTTTTGGGGTTGGGAGGGGTTATGCAGGTCAGTGTTTGTAATTAAAATTATTTGGAAATTACGTTGGAACTGCTTTCGTTTTGCTTGTTGATTGTGGATAGGTAAAATTATGGTTTAAAAAAATTGGTCTTGGGGTTTATGTCGTTGATGTGTAGATTTTTCTATTAAGAAATCTGTGGATAATGCTGAAGTACTTAGCAAATAGAAAATAGAGAATGTGAAAGTAATAGAAGGAGAGTAATGGATATTTTTAAATAGCCTACTGCTGGGACTTGTGTTTTCTCAAAGGTGCCAATTCTTCATTGATATTTGTGCTATTAAAAAGAGAAAAGTACAATCATTAACATAGACCTGAAAGTAAATATTAGCTTTTAAATCAATGTGATTTAATCATATATTGGAATGCCAATAAACCCAAAAGAAATATGAATATGGACTCATGTAAATTATCATGGTAAACATACTTGCTGAAAGTAAATATTAGCTTTTAAGTCAATGTGACTTAATCATATAATGGAATGCCAATAAACCCAAAAGAAATATGAATATGCACTCATGTAAATTTTCATGGTAAACATACTTGCTGTGCTTATTATGTACCATATAAATATCGTACTTTAAACTGCTTGTGGTAGAACTTTCGTTTGATGAATATTTTTAGTCACTCAGTAATTATTTTATATGAAGTTCATTTTCTTGTTATCTGGTTTGCATAATTAGAGGACCAGAGATAAAAAAAAAAAAAAAACTGTTGTAGTTCTTTGTTTTGTTCTTTAACAGGATTGCTAATATCATTTTTGCAAATTGTTATTCAGGTTTGATCCTCCTATAATCCCAAAGGATTTTGTTCCACACCACAAATTTCCTGGACCTCTTGAGACTCTGAAGAAGCTCGATGTTCCCTCACCCCCAGAGGTTCCTCCTCCAGATGATAATAATTTGAAACTCTTAATTGAGGGGGTTGCAACATTAGTAGCTAGATGTGGTAAATTGTTTGAGGATCTTTCCAGAAAGAAGAATCAGTCAAATCCTTTATTTAGTTTTCTTTCTGGAGGAAATGGACATGATTATTATGATAGGAAGCTGTGGGAGGAGCATCAGAAACGTGGTGATCAAGCTAAGCTGTCATTGGATGGAAAACTTTCTCCGAGTGTGCAGAAGATGACAGCAGAGAACCGCGGCAAATTATTAGGAGAAAAACCTTTGGAAAGAAGCTCGAGAGAGACCACAAGCTCATCTGTTGCTTCTGGGGACTTTGTTCAACTTCAATTCAATCTTTCCGATACATTTAAAAAACCTGAATCATTTGTAAGTACTGTACTTCCTTCCCTTCTTATCTCTGTTTTAAAAGTCATACGAGCCAAGCTTCCCAAATTTTCTTTTTCTGTAAATGCTGTAATTTTCTCATGTTTTTATATCTCAGTTTGCTGTCTTTTACAGTTCACCATATTGTTTGTACGGACTGCTGAATTCTGCCTTTAATCTCTGTTTATTGTAGAATGAGTTGCCAGAAGTTGCAAAACCATTCAAAGATGATCCTGCAAAGCAAGAAAGATTTGAACAGTTTCTCAAGGAAAAGTATGAAGGAGGGCTTCGTTCTATGGGGTCTAGCGCGGCTAGTAATATGTCAGAAGCAGCTCGTGCCCATGAGAGATTGGATTTTGAGGCAGCTGCTGAGGCAATAGAGAAAGGGAAACGGGGAAAGGAAAGCTTGATTTCTGAACAGCCATTTGACTTTTTAGCCACTGGAATGCAGTTTACTTCCGGTGTACAAGAGGTAGATTTAAGGTGGTGTCTTTTTAGTTACTGAATCTTTTATGCTGGATTTTGACATTTCAATAAATATAACAGCAGGTTAAAGATACTCATGCTGAAAATTTGATGACAAAGAAAATGTACCCGAGAAGGGAAGAGTTCCAATGGCGGCCTTTGCCTGTTTTGTGCAAGCGCTTTGATCTCATTGATCCTTTTATGGGGAAGGTATTCCTAATGTCTTGCTTCTTTTCTGCTGTTTTCTTCTTATAAGTTGAAATTAGTAGAAAAGGTTTATGAAGGGTTCTCCATCTTACCACCCATCCAAAATAAAATCTCTATTGAGAAATCACTGCTGGTTTTACTTGTTTTCTTAGAGGTTTGCTCATCTTACTGCTTACTGGTCTCTCTTAAAAAGGAGGGGATGAGTGCAAAATTTTTAATATATTAGCTATGATTTCTGTTCTAAAAATCAATATTTCTGTTTGCAGCCACCACCAGCTCCACGCATGAGAAGTAAGATTGATTCTCTACTTTTCATGCCAGATTATGTTAAAGGTGCTAAACTGGAAGAAGATCTTGTTACAAATAGAGATGTTCCTGTTGCTCAAACTGATGCTCAAAAGACAATTGAAGACGTAGCTGGAAAGGAAATTGAAGTTGCAGCTGAAAATGTTGAAAGGCCTGTTGATCTCTACAAGGTATTATTTGTTCAGTTGGAATCTGTTTGTGAACTGACTTTTATTTAATGGTCAAAAAAGAAATTGACTTATATTTGATTCAAAGTTGGTACATACATTTGGTTTCAGTTCCAGTCTCAGTTAATTTTGTCTCTTGTTATAGCCTCATAGGCCTTGCACCATAACACAAACTAGAAGTGATAATTGTAAATGGTTAGCTTGACAATTTGGAGTGAGCATATTTATCTGACTGACCACATTTTCTCTGCATCCTTTCTCTTTATATCTAATCAGTGAGGCTTTAAATTGTTGATCTTGGGCTACAAAGTTCTTCGGCATTACTGTGTACTGTTGGTTTCACATTGAAATGGACACATGTTCCTAATTCCTTTATGTTATAGAAATTCATGTTATCCATAAAAAAAATATTTTTTTTAGTTTGAAACTCTTCAATTTTCCTCTTTTTTGAATGAAATGGCACTGCAATGAGGATGATTGTCTTCTCCGTAGAATCTAGTTTTCAGAAGAGCCAGTAGAATGCTACCATACAGCCTTGTTTCAGTTAAGTTCACTAGTTGGAGATAAGTAGACTCGATGAGCTGACCTCTGCTATATGGCATCTTAATGTCCTTCCTGTATCTGCTCCGAGTCTTTGAATGCATATTCTGAGTTTGGACAGTTAGTCATGAGTTCTGTCTCATACATGAATTTGTTTTAGTAAATAACTTATATTTGCCTTTTTAATAATTTTTTTATATCTGCATAGTAGTTGAACTTTCTGATGCTAGGATATCTTCAGCTGTTTGTGGACTGAAAAAAGAAAATAGTTAGATAAATTTCTTCTTGCTCATCATGTGCTTCATGTTTAGTTTTCTCCTAGATCAGGAAACTTTGTTTTACTTGAATGGGAGTTTGTTTTTGCACTGCTATTTCTACGGATATACATTCCTGTTTGCACCAGTAGAGCATGTGCCTAAACCATATGATACGCTTCCTTTTCATCATTGTGTGATATGAGTTGGACATCCTGCCCGTTTCCTTTTGATGCTTTTCATGTATGCTTGTGCCAGACAAGTGGCAGCCATACATGCAGGCAGATGTTGCTGTTTATACACAAAATATTTAGTTTCTCAATAAAGCATGATATGATTGGGGACCTACTTATGCTGTTATATTGATCTTCATTGTGTGCAGGCAATTTTTTCTGATGATTCTGATGAAGATGTAGAAGACATTAATACCAAGAAAGTGGAGGATCAGGAGAAGAAGATTGAAGTGGCAACCACGACACTAAACCGTTTGATAGCAGGTGACTTTCTAGAATCCCTGGGAAAAGAACTGGGCTTGGAGGTTCCCCCTGACATGCCCTACTCAACGAATAATGTCAGCACTCCTACTCAGAAAGAAACACCTAATGGTGAAAATGCTATACTCAGTCCTCTTGAAGGTAGAACTTTTTGTGCCCCTAAATCTGTCAGTGGAACTTCTCTAAACCCTGGACAAGAAACCGCTCAAGATGGTGAATTGGCAAAAAATGAATCCATTCCTGGCAGGTCTGTAAGATATAGTAGCAAATATCCTGATGGTCTATCTGAGAACATATCTGGTAAAGTCAATATGGAAAAGATTGCTCAAGAGGATAAGAAAGGCAAATCATCCTCTAGGCATCAGAGAAACTGGAGCAGCAGTTCTTCATCAGAAGATGAAAGGAGTAGAAAACAATCCAGGCGGCATCGTTATAGAAGCAGTGATTCATATAGTGATTCAGCTAGTGATCATCATGATCGCTACCGTTCTAGGTCAAAAGGGAGAAGGAAAAAATCCTCCCGGGAAAAGAGTAGTAGCAGCAGAAAACACTCAAAACATCATAAGCACAGAAACAGGGACTCTCCCAGCAGGTCCCATCAAGTTTCTGAGAGGGAACATTCAGAAGCCAGGAAAGAGAAACGGATACGAAGGGATTGAACATTAGCTTCTATTCTTTCCATTCCTATCTCCATCCAGAAATTTCTGGTCGTGTAGCTTCATGGATTAAGTGCCCGAAATTTGACAGATAATCAGTTTGTTTGATGTTCCGGGGCAAGGTTCTCACCATTAAATGTTTTGGAAATCCTTCACTTGCATGGCGCTTATGCCGTTGCTTCCTTTTTACATCCAGAGGTATGTACGAGCCATGGAGGAGGGAAGTAAATCAATGGCGGGGTTGGGGTTTTTTGAGAGATAGGTGATGGTCGTAATGTGAACAAGTCAGCAGCCAAAGCTACTGTTTTGATATTTCTCCTGATTACCGTATTTTTATCGAACATAAAATGTGTAAGCCCTATGCATTATGAATGACCGTTGTGTAAATGATTATCAATGTAATGTTGGAATAATGCGAAGGAATCGTCTCTGGACTCCCAAATAAATCTCCTAATCTGCATCTTCTCGGTTCTACTTTTGAAATGAACTCATCAATGATTTGCCCTCTCAATAAATATCTGAATTACTTTTTCTATGTTATATATAAAAATGGTCGTCGTTTAAGATAAAAAGAAAATGCTGTAAGTTTTGAGATTTAAATTTTAAATTTTTTAACTGTCAAAATTTTTTAAACAAATGATATAGTAATATGTATTATATATCTCCGTATGTAAGCATTATTATTATTATTATTAATTTAATCATTTTTCACCACTCGTTCATGATTTTTATTGATATTTGATGAATGTTGCAACGAAGGACATGTCATCAACTAGTGCTAGACAAATTATCTGTTTAAAATAGAGATCATCAACAACGATAAAAAATTAATTTTTAATTTAAAATTTAATTTTGTTAATTTCAAATAAATAAAAAAAGAGTAAAGATCAATCATGATCATGAAAATCTTAAGCCCGAACTGAATGCTGAAGTACCAAATACGGCATGCATTTGACTTTACCCTAAAAATTATCCGACGGAGGAAGTGCAACCAAGCATCAATCATGCAGTTAAGCGTCCCAATTATGGACGCCAACACCAACCAATACTACTAAAAACTGCATTCAAGTCTAAGATTGGGATAACAAACATCCAGCAATCCCCACTAAATGACGTTTAAAACCTGTATGATTTGGTACAAACTTCAAGCCTGGACACAGAAAGTTCACTCAAATGGCGCTCTTCTTTTTTCTTTTGGAAGGACTAAAGTCAGTCAATTCTCACTCCCCTTCGGCCATCTTCAAAATTTATCAACAAAAATTCATATATTTCTAAAATATGACCAAACAAAAAATTTTATGAGGCTAACTATTGGTCTATATAAATTGTTGAATGACCGATGTGGTACATAATTTGATAATTTTTTCCTCTTCATTTAAGAATATTTGTGGGTTTAAATCAAGCTGACCCCTTCAATCCCATGTGCTTTGATGTACCTCACTTGCTCATTCAATTAGACCCTTCCCTCCAGCCTTGAATTAAACGAATTTAATTGAACGATTTCATCTGACCCATAAATATTCCTACTTCATTTCGAACTGTAGTCTCAGTCCTCGTATTCCTCTTGCGCGGGAGAGTCATCAAGTGGATAGGCAAGTGTCACGTGATTATCATGATCTTTCAAAGAACTCTTTATAAAATTGTAATTAATCCTAGGAGATATTATACCTAACTTTTTCTTCTCCCGTGAGTTTATCGTTTTCCTTTTCAATTTTCTTTAACTTTGCCTCGTCGCTTATGTGCTTCAACTCATCCGAATTAGGTCCTTTGGCTCAGCCATTTGGAAGCATTTTCATAATTGAATGTAGTGGGAAGGAAACAGCAAAAAACTAGATTGGGAGAATTCTTTCTAATGAAGGAATTGACTTGCCTTTTAAGTTTATTTTTTTTATTCTTTAATTTCTCAGTCAAAGTCATAATATGTGCTAATGATGATCTACATGAAATCTTAAGAATTATTATTATGATTTTCACTTTTTTTTTCTCTTTCTTTTTATCCTTAATTTTTTAGGATTTCCTTTTCCTTTTTTGGATGAGCAAGTCAATTTTTTTTTTCTTTTCATGAACTGTTAAGAGACTTACTGAAAGCTGAGAAGAAAAATGTGTTCACAGACAAAAAAAAAAAAGATATTGTATTTTAAAATATATTTTGATGCTCAAATTAATAAAATATTTATTAAAAAAAGTAAAAAGACAATAGTTAAAGCAAAATAGAAAAAAAATTAAATGGTAAATTTATTATTTATTTAATCTAATTTTTTTTTATATTTCATAAATAATGATGTGATTAAATAAATTATCATACGTAAATTTTGTTAATGCGATAATCAAAATTATTACGAAAGCGATTATTTTAAGTATACATGGAATTTGAAACAAATCTATGGAGGGATCATAACAAAATCTTTTTTGATTTAGATGTTGAAAAATTTTCAATGTACCAAAAAAATTTTGAGAGAATACAACTCTCATAGTCAAAATGAGAGGCAAAAGTGTGATGCAACCTAATTTTTATGGGTTTATGTTTCCTCTCCTCCATTTGAGAATGACCTAATCAAAGCAGCCAAAGTCAAAAAAGACATTGAAGAATTCAATGTATTAGCTGTTGTGTTTTAATGAATTGATGAATATCAAATTGGTGTTTTGTGTTTGACAGATAACTCATTATGACACTTTCATTTTTGCCAGACAGCCGTGACGAAAGCTTACATGGCAGACAAAAAAAAAAAAAAAAAAAGAGAAAATGAGTATTTGGCTATGATAGGAAAAATATTTTATTAATATTATATTTGATAATTTGTGTATTTATATAATTTAAAATATTAAAATTTATATATTTATATCATATTTTATATATAAATTATATGTTATAATTTATATAGATATAAAACATAAAATATATATTTTTTATTTTATTAAATTTATATATAATTAATATTAAAATTTTAAATTATATCATTTTTATATCATGTTTATATTTTAAATTATCAAATTTAATTAATATCTATTGGATCACATGATCGTTCTAGAATTTAGATCATCATTTCAAATAAAAAGTAATTACTTATACTTCCATTTCGCTTCTCAATTTTAAGTATTTCACAAATTATAAAAGGGTCAAGCAATTTTCATAAATAGTATGAAAGTTATAAATAGAGAAGGTATTTTGATCTATATTTGATAGGTTTTGATCCAATTTGATATTTTAAAATTATTTTTTTAAATTAAATATCGAATCAAATCGAGTTAGATGATAAAAAAAATCGAAGTTAAATTTTAGATAAATCTGATTAGATATATATAAAAAATTTATTTTTTTAATTAATTAAATATATTTATATTTATAAATAATATTACATATTTTAAAAAATAATATTTCATTAATTTTAAATTTGATACGATTTTATATAATATCAGATCTGATTATATTTAAATATAAAAAAATATAAAATCAAATTAAATCAAATTAAAATATTATATATATATAATCGGATCGAATTTAAAGTGATAAATCCGTCCAAACCCAAACTATTACCATATATGGTTATAAATAACAAATTCATAAACGTTTGTTTGTTTATTCAAACACTTTTAATTTTACAGGATTTATTACTCAAATAATTTAAGTTTAAATTCAAAAACAATAGTTCAAATTTAAGCTTAAATTACTAAAGTAAATTCGAATCTAAATAATAAATTAAATAGCTTGATTTTGTTTACATACTAAATAAGAACCATAAAACCCTAAAATGGGTTTCTAATCAGCTGGCGTAAAAATGGTTCAATCTGGCTGCGCCTACCCATTTTCTCATCCTTGTCCATCACTAACGGATAAAACTTTGAATTATTTAGCAAAATCTCAACCGTTGAAACAAAATTCTGATAATTGTCCAATCTTTTATTTTAATAAATAATACTTTTATTAGTTAGATAAGAAAAGAACATGAAAAGTCTATAGAAATTAGCTTTAAGTGATTAAAAGTTTAGAATTTGAATATAAAATATTTAAATTTGAATATTTATTAATTTTTTTATAAATTAAAAAAATTTAAAAATATTCATAAATTTTACTTTTAATTTAACGATTTATCAGTACCTTAAAAATAAAATAATTTTGACTTTTATGACCAAATAAAAGAAAAAAAGAGCTTGATCCTTCACTTTTATTACCAAATATAAAAAGGAAAGAGCTTGCAAAGACCCTTTTTTTTTTTTTTTTCTGTTATTTCAGATAATAAAAAAAATAGAGCCTGTGATTGGTGAATGGTCTTGGTTGACCATTCCTACACGCCGTCTCATCCAATTTTCAACATTGTACGTACCTAAACTCTCTTTCTCTCTCTGTCTCTCCACATGAACTGAGGACAGAGAAAAAAGTTGTCATTTTTTTATATCTGTCTTGTTTTCTTTTGTCTGCAAAGGAAAGGAAGATCCCAGAAAATATCAACTAAGTATGCTCTGTCAGCTTAAACCACTTTGCTTATAACAAATTCCATTCCTTGTATTGTTTTAAAAAGCTTCTTCTTTTCTTTTTGAGGTATCTCTTACAGCTTTTTTCATTGACTTTCTAGACGACTTGGTCACTACTACTCCTTCATAGTAACTGTTTGCTATAATTAAAATTTTTTTTCAGTATTTGGCTACAACTTTTAGCAGTTTTACACTTTTGGGTATCTTTAAAAACTTTTTCCAACACTTGAATTAAAGCTATTTTGTTTCCACTTTTATCTGATTTGGTTCTGTCGAGGGGGTTGGTCTTATTGTCTTATTTTATTTTATTTTATTATTTTTTATTGTGCTTTAAATGAATTGTAACAAAGTAGTTGAGTTTGAACTAAATGTGCTTAGATGGGTAAAACTAACTGCACGTCTCTTTGGTTTGTTTCTTCTAGCTGAAGGTCAAAGTTGAGACATGGCAGCCTGGTCCACAAGTTCTACCAAAAATTAGAATAAGAAAAGAAGAAACAATGTATGTTTCAGAAACACAACTTGCTTCCTCTATCTTTGTTTTGTCCCTTCATGGAACCTTCATTTATGAAATAGGATTTTTTTTTCTTTGGTTTTTATGGTTGTTAATTATTCTAGATAGAGCTTCAATACATATTGAATTCTAATAGGGGTTTGTTTTACTTTTGTTTTTCCTGGTGTTTGCTACCTTGAAATTTTCCCTTTTCTTTTTCTTTCTTTGCCTGTTCATAAATAGAACTCTGGCTTAAAGATCTGGTTTGATTGATTCCTGGTTTTGTGCAGCTTTCTGGGATCTTAGTTGCAGTTGATTTGGAGAATCTTGTTTATAACATAATTGGTTGTTGAAACTTGAAAGCATCTTCTGAAGACTGCAGTTCGTTGTCAGTATCTGCAGCTCCTGACAAAAAAAAAAGTTTCTTGCATTTAGTGGTGTCTATGTCTTTGAACCACTTAGGATTAGATTAAATTTGAATAGAATGGCTGGTGGCAGGAGAAGGAAGCAGCATTTTAGCAGAATACATGCCTTCTCATGTGGGAAAGCATCTTTTAAAGGGGAGCACTCATTGATTGGAG